CATTAACATACTCCAATGATCATAATGACCATCAAAGCGGGGAATTGCTGGTTGTACAAAAGTTTCAGACGCCATAAGAAGAGTGGTGGTGGAAAAGCTGCAGCTTTTTCCAGAGAACCGCTCTGATACCACTGTTGTATGAACAGCAGAAATAGGAAAATGACAGAGATAGTATTTTGGGAGGAAGACATCATGGTTTATTCAATAGAAAAGCCTTTTAAATAGGCTGTACAGTAAACGGGAAGCGAACAGAAAATACGAAGCTAACTCCTAAAATATTGGAAAGTATAACAACTTTAAATCAAATACTAACTACTGCTGTAAAATAGGAAATAACACGTAACAAAGTCAAAACTATCTTAACATATACAACCATCCTCGTTATTATTACTATTAAAATCAATGCATTAATTAATTAATATTGTCATTGTGGTTACTTAAAGTTAGTATACCAATTTTTACATATGAGTTAGCCTACTAAAAATGAAGTGTACAAAATTTAACGTGTTTCACTATTTCGTGGTGATTTGATGTTAATTTTATTAAGTTTGATTTTTAAAATTAAATATGATATATTTTTAATTTAAAATTCAGCTCAATGTCCTTTTATATATATATATATATATATATATATAAATAAATTATATATTAATAATAAATTTTAAGTACTAACATAAGTTAGTTTAAATGATAAGCAGTTCTGTATCGCTTAAGTATAATAACATGTTTAGGTTTGTGACTTAGATTGGATTTGAATTAAATCAATAAAAAATTTAAAAAATAAAATAAAATTTTAAGTCTTAAATAATATTTTACATATTATAACATTATATTTATACTAATATTGTTGTTTTTAAAATAAAAAAAGAGATAATGTAATTAAAAAATTAACAAGTAAAAACTATATATGTATACATAATTTTAAAAATAAGGAAAAAGAGAGAGACACGATTACAAAGTTTAACAAGAAAAATTGTATACACACATGCAACACATAAGCCTACATATCAAATCTAACATGGTCATAATTGCTTCCACTGACATTATCATTAGAATTATTATTGTTATTACATAATAACAGTGAATCAGTAAAATCTATTAAACTACTATATATTATTATCCTTATTTGTCAATTATTATTATAACAATCTTATTACTTTCCTTATATTTTCTTTATTATTATTATTAGTCAACTCCTATTACAAAACAAACACAAATATATAACTATAAATAAATCATTTATGTGATTTAAATTTAAAAATAGGTATTAAAAATTTAAAATTAAAAGCGATAAGTAGAAACTGTGTATATGCATTTGGCTTCCAACTAAAATGCATCTTATAACTTGCACTATACATTATTAGCTAAATTTTACTATATCCTCATGGGGTTTTTTTTAATTGTCATTATCATGATGGTTTGGGACCAACGACACACTATCATTATAATTATGTGCATCTGTATAATCTTCAACAGCCGTTGGATCTACTGTCTTCAATGATACTTACCATCAAAACCAGCAACAGTATGGTCGATCTACGAGTTCCTGACAATGGCATCCCACGGCAACGAAGAACCTCTCTCTTTCTATTAGTGCTTTGATATGAGGTAGATAAACCTGACATGTGAAATCGTAAGTCACTACTATATACAGTTATCATCAATTATTATACATATAAAGATCGTAGTAATTGCGTTCTTTTACACTATTCAATTAACATTTAGGATCTTCGTAGCATTTCTTGTTTGGGTTACATATGTAATGTTTAAATGTGTTAGGATTATCATTTAATTAGCCAAAATTATAAAGTAGTTTATTTTATATTACATTTATGACTAAGGACATAATTATTATAAAAAGTTATTATATAGATATTGTAAGTAATATTTTAATTTGATAAGGAACTAAATTAAAAATATTAAATTACAAATATAACTGATAAAAGTTACATAAATATGTTATGATCTTTGTTTATAGAAGCGATTATAGAACATACAGAATTTATTTTTTTGTTTTTTTCTCTTCATTCCCATTAGATAAGGAGCCTGGAAAAAGGAACTTAAAGTCTTCTACATTTAAAAGATCACATACTTATTGTTAATCTTATCACTTTCATCATTTTTAATGACAAATTTAGGTACAGTTTTACATTTTATTTTTATCATTAATTAGAGTATGAGCTCATAAAGATTAATTTATGATTGTGTTATAATTTTAGTTCTATGAGTAAAAATATGTCGTTAAGTATAATTATTATTTGTTAAAAATTGACATTTCCTTTTTAGTAATTTTTCAGACGAGGGAGACTTTGATTATGATCAAATTGCAGTGAGGTTTGTTTGATAGTTTGATATCATAAAAACATTCTTGTTGTTTATGTTGCACAAAAACCCTAGTACCATGTAGTTTCTTTTTCTATAACCATTTATATGCACTTTATTCTCTAATTATGAGTTCGTAACATCAATTTAAATATATCTATGCACCCATTAAGAAAAGTAATTATATACTAATATTAATGGAAAAAAATTGATGACAGTCTCAATAAAATTTCTTCCATTGCTATAACATTTATTTTTTTAGTAAAAATTAATTGTTGGTATTTTGTAAAATTATACTACTAGTTTAATTTTTATGACATAAGAGTTCTACTATTACAAACAAACTTAACATTTAGTTGTTAGTATATGACATATTTTTGTAGTAAAAAGAAAACTTACTTTTTAGTGTAAATGAACAAAATAGTAGTAATTGTACGAAGTACGATTGTAAGTTCCAAGTTGTACGACTGTCTAACTTTGGGAATTGTCAAATATTGAAATTTATTAATCTCATTTAATTTAGCCTCATGAAAATATTTATGAAGCCGTTGCAAGTGGTTACAGAGTTGTCTTATATACGGTTCCAAATTCAATTAGATATATATTTTTTTGGGTGAAATTCAATTAATGTTAAGTTTAATTTCAATATATTAATAATATACATTTTTATATTATCAACTAATTTATATTTTTAAATTTTTTGAATTTTTGATTTTTTCGATTTTTAGTTAATTCAAGTTTTTATTCAATTTAATATCTTATATTGTATTAGATCAGTTAATAAATACCCCTCGTTGTTTGTGTTGTGGTGAAGCAAAACTTGTACGTTATATTTGGCCTCATTGTAACCTTAGCATGGTATCCAAGTGCATACTCAGGAGAGGTTTTTTAAAGAGAGAATATCAATTTTCTTTAATCAAACCGCATGTATCGTTTAAACGATATAATTTTATTCAAGTTAAAAACATTTATATCACAGTGAAGTTGAAAATACTGTTAAAAATAGGAGAAAATATCAAAATAAGTTAAATCAAACATGATATAGAAGAGAGGTTTACATTTGCCGTGAAAAATACATAATTTCGATTCACATAAAAATTAGTCTTAAAATTATCCAATTGTACAACATAAATAAAAACCTATTTATGTGCGTTGGCAAATTTGTTATGCAAATCAATGTTATCCATCATTCAATAAATATGACGGAGACCAACTGACTTGGAAAATTTTCACGAATTGGTCTTGTTGGTTTGCTAAAGTTTGGTCTGTTTCCCGAACCTATGGATTATGTTCTAATTTGAATTTGGTGGAGATAGTTAAGTATGGTTTCCTCCCTATATATATTTAAACATAAAATATTCTAAAATTTACATTTTTTGATATAAAATATATTTAAATAAAAGAGACAATGAAGTAAATGAAAAAAAAATATTACGAAGGTTAAAAAAAACCAGAGACAATAAAATTAGTATACGTATGTGAGGTCTAATTATGAAACAATAAGCTATTTTAAATAAAAAATAAATAATAAAAATGTAATATAAATATTAATAACTAAAATTTAAAAAATAAATACTACTTTAAATAACTTAAATCTAACTTTTAAAAATTATGAATGTTTTTTATTTTATATTTATCAAACATTTCTATTAATTTATTCATCAAATTTATTAACCAACAAAATAAACTAAATACTCTTAGATAAATTACAACAAACCTTTACCGGAAATTTGGATAACCGTACGTGTGCAATTTGAGCAGTAGACTTTTCCTACGCACAGGTGCATCACGCTATAACGCTGTCTGGTGTCTCCTCTCTTGTGTTCTGCGCTCGTCCACTTCTACTCACAATTTAATTTGACATTTAAACTCAATTAACACCTTCTTCTGCATTGCTTTTCCTCTCTTAAATTCGTTCTTATCGCTTTAAGTTCACTGTATATATAATGACCCTTTTTGCTCAAAATGAAAAACTCATAAACCCTATATTACTATTATCCCTGCTTAGATCTCATTGCTTGCGATTGTGTTCAACTAATCATTCCGGCGACAACTCTCTAACTAGATAACACATCTAAACTATCTGCTTCTGCCGGCTCTCTTGTCTTGCGATTGTTTTCAACTAAAGGTATATTAGTTCAAAATAATGCCGTTTAATTTTCCTTAAATTTGTTACTATCAGTAAATTATAATAAATATCGACTTTGAACATGCATGCCCTTTATTACATATATGTAGCTAGCTAGCAAAACTTGTAAAAAGAGTTACTCCACTCATTCAGATTGATCTTTTGCAAGTAGTTCGTTTGAGTTCGTTTGAGTTCACAAAATAGTACTCAAATTCGAAAAAGTTTAATTTTTTAAAGTTTTTTTGTAAACTAAATCTCCATCAAACGTAATCCAATCGGATGAAAAGGCTTAAATTTAATTTAAATTCACAATTTAAAACATAAACATTTTATTTTGTCGATAGGTTCAAGTTAATTAGCTGTTCACCCATTTTGATAGCTCTAGTGAGTAGTAGTATTATTATGTATATAATAATTAATATACGTGTGTGTGTGAAATTTAATTACCGGGTCTTGTTTCATTTAGAAGCGTGGGTGTGGATATCACTAATTGGAGGAAGAATCGCTGAGTTTGTTTAGGTAGTGTGTTTGGATAGGATTGTGAAAAGAGATGAGCAAAAGGGCAAGGAGTCCAAGGTTGGAATTGAGGCTGAACTTGTCCCCACCAAGGGCAGCTACCTCAATATCTTCGGATTCGTCGTCGGAGTTTTCAACATCGTCGCCGGTTTCTATTCAGTCGTTGGAGAGCTCATGCGTGTCTTCTGAGGCTGAAGAGACAAGAGCCATGCTTCTGGTAGGTTGTCCTCGATGCCTCATGTATGTTATGTTATCTGAGATTGATCCCAAATGCCCCAAGTGCAAGAGTACTGTGTTGCTTGACTTCCTTAACAACGAGGAGAACACCAAGAAGACAAACAGCTAGAGAGATTTCAGACAAAAAAAAGGTTTAGTTGTTGTTATTGTAATATTTTCCATTTGTTAATTAGATTTAGAGCAGAAAGAGCATTTTCTTTCCTTTCCATTTGCGTTGTGAAATTAATTTGGCTGTGTTAGTTACTGTTTACAAGACAAGGGGAAGAGAATTTAAATTTGGGTTTTCTGGGTCATGTAGGGAGGATTTTGTTATTTTTTTTGAAATTTTATTCTTCTTAGTTATTATCATCTTCTGAGCTTGAGTTCTTCTCAGTATGGATACAGAAGATAAGAAGTAAGTTCACCATAAGCATATCAGATACTCCTTCCGGTTTATTAATCTTTTATTTACATTTAGGTCTGTTTAATAGATAAAATAAGGGGATATGATAGGCTGAAAGTTGAAACCACCGTTATTTTCAAACTACCATAAGCTGTATGTATAATGCGGTAGATATTTACATTCATTATTGGTAAAATTATTGGGCTTTGTATATTTCTAAAATATAATATAAATTTATAACGTATAATTATTTTTTTATTTGTATTAATAAATTAGTTATTTTATTATTAAAAAAATAAAAAAGAACATCAAATGTCAAATTCAAATTACAGAAGTCAAAATAATAATATTAATAAAATAATTATAATAGTAAATAAAATGTGTAGATAACTAGAAGAGCTAAATACTAAGTATAATACATACTTATACTTTCTTACTCTCAACGTAAAAAACCTCTTTTTATTAGATATAATTTTACTTTTCAACATATCTTAATTATGAGCATATTTTTATTTAATCTTACGATTCTTTTGTTAATTTTATTTTAGTTTTTTAAAATTTATAAAATTAAATCAAAGAAGAAAAAACAAAAGATTAAAATATTAATTTTACCTTTCATTATTTTATATGGTTATCAATTATTGATGTTATAACAACTTAACATTTCGGTAGATAGATAATAGATGTTATTATTGGTCAAATGACGTTTACTGTCTACCAAAATGAATGAATTATGAAGGGAGATGGGAAAAAAATTATGCATTGACTGTCTGGTACATAATTTTTTCATATTTATTTTTCTAATTCAATTTTTTATTTTAAAAACTATCAAATATAATAGAAAAATTTATTCATACAATATCAAAATTAATTTTTTTTATTTTAGAAAATTTTCAGTAATATAAAAAAAACCTAAAAATCATATATTTGTCTCATACACGATTAGCATGGCGAGAAAAAATATGTTAAGCTGATGTATTGTTTGTTGAGTTAGCTTCTACTTAATTTTTCAGGTTTTATATGGATCAACCTAGGGTAATTTTAGTCAATTATAGTCTGGAATCAATGGAACATGTACGAACCAAATGTCCCGTTGACACTATAAAAATTATAATTTACTGATAATTTAATATTAAAATATATTTTTTAATTTATATAATTTTTTAAAATAAAATTATTTAACATTGTATTGAAATTTTACTTCTGTACAACTTTAAAAATCTTTTGACAAGCGCGAGAACACGCGTAGGGACCTCTGTCTTTCTAAATTTTTTATTTTTTAATTTAGTCTCATAAAAATTATATCTAATATATATGGTCATTTTATTAGTTAATTTATTATTTTTATATATATAATTTGATTGAAATATAATATTTAATTTCAATACAAAATTTTATTTTTAAATACTTAAACTACATGCTAAAAATTGATATTAACAAAATTGTAAATAATTTATTGGTTACATAGTTCCATGTCTGACATCCTTTGCATATATTTAGTATTTTGTACAGTAAAGTATAGTGGCAAGGATGCCGAATTTGAAGTTGTGGGTGTATATTATGTAATTCAGTAAATTTCGCTTTTATTAACTTAATTTTTTAAGGCAGAATTTAAACATATAAATTTTTTAATTCTTTATTAAAATAGGTAATATGTTAAAATATCGTATTTAATAGTATTATTTGTAAAATCTAACTTTGGGTGCCCATGAGTCATAAGCAAACGATTAAACAACCACTTATAAGCATAAAGGGCGAGGGACGTAGTTGTGCAACATGGGCAAGGCTAGAGGCCCAGCCCACACATGGGCCTTACCCTGAAACTGAACAGAACAAAACGTCGAATAATTTACTTATTTTATTTTTTTTAAAGTAAATTTTACAGTGTTCTGAAAAATGAGGAAATATTATATATTTTTGTTAAAAAAATATAAATATTTTTTAATATCTTAATATAAAATAGATAAAATATTTAATACACTTTTAAGTTTAGGAATATTATAGTAATTACAATTTTTTCTTTTAATGAAGTAAGGATTAATAACAGAATTTAAAATTAAAAAATGGATGCTCCGAATAATTAATTGTTTTCCTTTAATAGCCGTCACTCCCTGGGCGCGGAGAAAGATGCATGGTTTTGGAGTTTAATGGAAGTTTAACTAAAATAGAGAATGACCAATGCCATGTATCCGTATTAAACAATAAATAACGATTAGTTATGCTCGACAAAATTAGGAAAAAGTAACGTGTTCAAATAGCTATGTGATTTTATCATTCATATCCCAACACCACCCAATTCTGGGGTGTAGTTGACGTAGGAACTTTATAGTGATTTGTGTAGTGGGAGGACATGCTATATTGTTAGAAAATAATAATAAGAAAATGAGGTGCCTAATATGACCAAGTCTGGCATTGACTGGGCAACCTTTACAACCTTCTTGAGTCAAGCTTTCTCACGCGTTGAACTTTGACACTTAACGCCTACACTCAACTTACTCACACTCTCTCTTTCTTTATAATCCACAAAATCCACTTTCCACGCAACATCTTCCCTTTCTTCATATAAAACCTCACTCCACCATCACATCTCTCTCACACCCAATTTTCTAACACAAAACGCACAACACGCGAACACGCTCTTCCGTTGAGAATCCAACGCTGTTGTTCTAACGCGACACCGAAGTATGGGCATGCTTAGCGAAGAACCGAAGTCGAAACCGGTTACGATCCGCGAAGTATGGGCCTCCAATCTAGAATCTGAATTTCAACTCATCCGTGAAGTCATAGATCGTTACCCTTTCATCTCAATGGACACCGAATTCCCAGGCGTCGTTTTCCGCCCACACGTGGACCCTACCAAACCCTACAATCACCGTCACCGTCGTCCCTCCGATCACTACCACCTCCTCAAGTCCAACGTCGACGCGCTCAACCTCATCCAAGTTGGCCTCACTCTCTCCGACGCCGCCGGTAACCTTCCCGATCTCGGAACCGCCGGCAACATTTTCATCTGGGAATTCAACTTCCGCGACTTCGATGTCGCGCGTGACGCCTACGCGCCGGATTCCATCGCTCTCCTCCGCCGCCAGGGGATCGACTTCGCGCGTAACTCCACGGACGGAATCGACTCGGCGCGGTTCGCCGAGTTGATGATGTCGTCGGGACTCGTTTGTAATGAATCAGTGAGTTGGGTGACGTTCCACAGTGCGTACGATTTCGGGTACTTGGTGAAGATCCTGACCCGACGGAGCTTACCGACCCTGTTGGAGGAGTTTTTAAGGGTTGTGAGGGTGTTTTTTGGAAACAACGTTTATGATGTGAAGCACATGATGCGGTTCTGTGAGACACTCTATGGTGGGCTGGACCGGGTTGCACGGACCCTCAACGTGGACCGAGCCGTTGGTAAGTGCCACCAGGCCGGGTCAGATAGCTTGCTGACGTGGCACGCGTTTCAGAAGATTGTTGACATTTATTTTGTAAAGGATGAGCATAAAAAACATGCCGGTGTGTTGTATGGATTAGAGGTTTTTTGTTAATTAAAAAAATAATAAAGCATAAAATAAGAATTTAATTGATTATTTATTTTATTTTTTGTATACTAATGTGACCCCAAGATTTGGTAAGAGATTGCACTTATCAACAACAAAGTTGTTCCTACATCAGATTTCACCTTTCGTTATCTCTATTTTTTTTTTCAGGGTACAATTTTCACGTCTAAGTGTGGCTTAAATGGTTAAATGTAAATTAAAACTTTGACAATCAACTAAACTAAAATGCCGAGCAAGGCATTGTAAATTTGTAATTGGCATGTGAATAGTTGGTAATTTATCAAAACTCAAATTAGTGAACGTCTCTAATAGATTAATTCTCGTTTGATCAATCAGAACAGATCCTTGCTTAATTATGATATATTGAACTTGAGGGCACCAAAGCATTGTGATTGAAGGTTAGGTTGTGCCCAATTTCACCTTTTGATTGCAGCTATACCATATTTTCTCTGGCGCCTTAACTTAGATGATTGTATTGTCAACAATAGGTTCACGGTCTAATTCATGATGGAGTTAGTTTTAGGTTTCTCTTCCTAATTTTTTACGATGTTTCTGAACATAATCTGGAAAAACAAACATTTGATTGTTTTCAGCCTTCTATTGCCCGAGATCCAATTGCAATTTGGTGATTGCTAAGTAGAGTTCACAAAATCGAAGGGTGCCCGTGGCTGTTGCTGTAAGTAGCATTTATTTTGAATTATTTCTTTATATGATGATTATTCCTTCATTCTTACAATTTTAATGGATTCATCTCACGACTTGATAGATATAAATATTCTCAATGAAATTTTTTAATAATAGTGGAAAATTCCATTCATTTTACACATACTGATTATCTTCTTTTTACTTAATTGTGAATCCAGTCCTTGTATGCCAATCTTTTCCACGTTTTTCAGGAAGGAAACTCGCAATGTAATGTTTGTGTGACATAAATGCCTTGTATGTAGACAGTACATCAAAATTTCATTGACTATATACATGGGACAAGTTGCATGTGAATGTGCTTTTGTGTCACCCACTTTCTTGAATCTTGTAACTTTGATTTTAAATAATAAAAATATGAGTAAAAATAATTAAACTAAGGGTGAAGTTTATATTATTTTATGAATTTTAATGAATATAATTAACACTAAAAAGTGTATTAAATAACATGTTGGCAACTTTTTTTAATATTTTATTTAGGTTTTAGTGTCGTAGTTTTAATAGCTTGTTGTCTCTTGAAATCAGTTGTTAATTGTCAGATGAAATTACAAAGTGGAGGATCAAATAATTGATATACCGTTATTCCTTGTGTGTATGGAGGATAAAATAGTTGATAAATCAGTTTATGCAAAAAATGTGGGAAAAAGAATCTTGTGTAAAGATTGAATTATTTGTTATTGATAAAAAAAATTGTCGTCAACTTACGCGTGGAATGTTCGGAGTGTGAAAAACAATGTTTAAACATTTGTGCCAAATATAATATTTGTTCGCAGCCAGACATTTTTACTTATTTTAGTCAAGTGGACGTTAAATATATTATCTGAAATTTGTCAAGTTTCACGTTGATTTCATGGCGAATCTGAACGTTCAAAGCAAGTAATCATTTGGATTAAGCTTAAGGTTTTCGGACCATGATCAACTGCCTAGTTGAATCAGTCATTGCCTTTAATTACCCTTTTATAGGATTATGTAACAGTGATAAAAATTTATGAAATTAAATGGTCACTCTTCAATTATTACTCCAAACAACCAAAATTAAATGTCAACAAAACCACAGTAATTATTAATGAAATAATTACATAAACACAGCAACTACGGTAATCATTGGGGATTGGTAGGAATTCGACAAGAGATCCATTCCTGAAATTACATGACACAAATGAAATTTAAAGTAGGGTTCAGATCATATAGACGACAGAGAGAATAGAATTTAGGGAGAGAGAAAATTCATACCATAAGCTATTTTTCACATATGAAATCACGCCATTTAACGTTCTCCCTCCTTTCACGTGAACTCTTGCGCAATCCCATGCTCCTTTCTTCGTTTGACACGTGGCCATTTTGCTTAACAAACTCTTCCGTCACTATAGAACCTTCCTTCACACGTGTTACATTACTCAGGGTTGAATTGTGGATAAGCTCGCTTCATCTCATCGATATCTTCTCAAGAATTGTCAGCATCAAACAATGAATCCCACTGCACCAAGACCTCTGAAACCTCCGTTCCATTTTTGTTAATCATACGAGCATCAAGGATCTTGTATGGCAACATTACTGGACCAAATTCATTGGTTGTCAATGATAGAGGGAAATATTGTTGTTTAGGATCACCCTAGAACTTCTTAAGTAAGGAGATGTGAAACATCAGATATATCTTTGCAGAATCCAGTAAAAACAATTTATAAGCAACATGCCCAATCTTCTCAATGATCTTAAACGGACCAAAATATCTAAGACTCAATTTTTGGTTCTTTCTTAAAACAACGGAATGTTGTCTGTATGGTTATAATTTTACCAAGGCAAGATCACCGACCTCCAACTGGACATCCCTTCTCTTTTTATCTGCTTGCAACTTCATATAGTTCTGAGAATGATGTGGTTTACCTTTCAGCTTAGTTAACAAAGCATCACGAGCCTTCAAACAATCTTGGAGATCTGTTGGGTCATGCTCATTATGTTCATATCTAATTATGGTTGGTGGTAATTTTCCAAACACAGCCTGGTAAGGAGACATGCCAATGCTATGATGAAATGAAGAGTTATACCAGTACTGAGTCCATGGCAACATATCCAACCAATCTTTAGGATGATCAAAGACAAAGCACCTTAAGTATATTTCTAAAGTTTTGTTTAAATTCTTAGTTTGACCATTGGATTGTGGATGGTAAGCTGAGGTCATAGCTAGAGTAGTATCCTGAGACTTAAATAGTTGTTTCCAAAAATTGCTAATAAACACCCTATTCCTATCAGACACAATGGATTTTAGGAACCCATACAACTTGACAATGTTCTGAATGAATGCTTCTACGACTGGCTTGCTATTAAAACTAGACTTCAATGAAATAAAATGAGCAAACTTTGATAATCTGTCAATTACCACCATGATATTAGAGTATCCATGAGATAAGGGCAGGGAAGTGATGAAATCTATAGCAATATCCTCCCAAATGAGGTCTGGAATGGGAAGTGGCTGAAGGAGTCCAGCAGGTAAGGACTGAGTGATTTTCACATGCTGACAAATAGCACATTCTTGAACAAACCTTCTTATATCGTCTCTCATTCTGTGCCAATAAAATTGAGCACTAATTCTAGCAATTCTTCTAGTAGTTCCAGCATGACCTCCTACTTTAGATTAATAAAATTCATTCATGATAATCTTAATTAAGGTATCATCCCTTGGCAACATAATTCTCCCTTTCCATGTGATAACATCTTGCTGCAATGAATAATCTCCACACCTTCCTGCATTGTTAAGACAATCTTGATAAATTTTTCTCAATGACTCATCATTTCTGGTTGCATCAGCTACTGTTTGAAGCCAAGTATTTGAAGATTCTGACCAAGCCATTGCAAGGCTCCTAGACAAGGCATCAACAGGTATATTTTCCTTTCTTGAGAGTACTGAATTGTGAAGTCATACCCTATGAATTTGGGTAACCATTGTTGTTGCTCTGGGGTTTGAAGTGTTTGATCAAGAAGCTCTTTCAAGCTTTTTTGGTCAGTCTTAATAATGAACTTGTGGCCCAACAAGTAGTGTTTGAATTTGGACAAAGATTCCGTGATTACATAGAACTCTCTAGCATAAGCAGATTGCTTCTGTATCCTCAAGGACAACTTCTTTGAAAAATAAGCAATATGGTGCCTATGTTGGCTTAAGATAGCCCCTATGCCTGAACCCGAAGCATCTGTCTCCAACACAAAAGGTTCAGCAAAATTAGGAATAGCTAGCACAGGAGCAGTTGTAAGGGCTGACTTCAAATCTTCAAAAGCCTTTTCTGCCGATGTAGACCATTTGAAGGAATCTTTCTTCAGTAGGTCTGTGAGTGGTGCAACAATATGTGCATAACCTTTTATAAAACGTCTATAATACTCTGTTAATCCTAAAAATCCCCTTAGCTGCTTCAAGGTTGTAGGCTTCGACCACTTGTTAACTACCCAAGTTTCTCAATGTCCATTGCCACTCCGTCTCTGGACAATGTGTGGCCTAAATATCCAATCTGCTTGACTCCAAATGTACACTTAGAAAATTTATCAAAGAGCTGGTTCTATTTTAGAATATTGAGCACTATCTCAAGATGTCGTAGGTGATCCTTCCAATTAGTGCTATACACTAAAATGTCATCAAAAAATACTAACACAAACTTCCTCAAGAAACCACTGAAAATTTGATTCATTAAGCTTTGAAAGGTTGCAGGTGCATTGGACAGCCCAAATGACATTACCAACCACTCATACAAACCTTGATGAGTTCTGAAAGCAGTTTTATGTATATCAACTAGATTTAACAGGATTTGGTGATAGCCCGACCTTAAATCAGGTTTTGAAAAGTAATAAGCTCCATACAGCTCATCCACTGTAGGAATAGGGAAACTATCCTTAATAGTGATGGCATTTAGTGTCTATAATAAGTGTATACCCTTTAAGTCCCATCCTTTTTCTTGACCAGAATAATTGGGGAAGAGAATGGACTACTGCTAGGTTGGATGATGCCCTCTTGCAACATGCCTTCCACTAGCATTTCAATTTCCTCTTTTTGGCTGTGGAGATATCTGTATGGCTTCACTTTGATAGGGTTTGACTCGTCTAACAGTGGAATTGAATGGACATGAGATCTGGGTGGAGGTAAACCACTGGAAGTACTGAAGACGGTGTTGTAAGTGTGCAATAAGAGGCCTAATTCTGGCTCCATGTCATCAGGCAATTCTAACAAGAGAAATGAGTGAGTATCTTCCTATATAACTTGCATGCTATACACTTCAGCAATGACATTTGTGTGCACCATTCGTCTGATATGATGTAATTGAGCTGTGGTAGGTAAGATGTCACTATCACCTTGCAAGGTAGTGAATCTTCCTTCATGCAAGAATTTGATTTGTAGTGACTCATAATCAGCCAAATGAGGGCCAATTGTCTTAAGCCAGCTTGCACCAAGAATGAGATCAGCACCGGAGATGGGAAGTAAAAACATTAGCAGTGTAAATACATTCCCCTGGGCCTGCAGTGTCAATTGTTGAATCAAACCTTCCAATTCCATATAGTTACCGTTGCCTACCATCACTTTAAACATTGGGGCCTTCTTAATTGGAAGTTTTAGAAATTTAGCCACTCGAGGCTGTAGGAAGTTATTAGAGCTACCACCATCAATCAACACTTTTATAGGCATGGTTCCCACATGAGCCATGAATTTAATAGTACCAACTCCAAAGCCTCCTTTTAAGGCATTGAGGGATAAATGATGATCATCAGTCAGTGGTGATTGCGATTCTGGAAATTTCTCAGCATGATTTTCAACGTGGATAGAATCCTCATCTCCTAATTGTAATACATACAACTGTTTGTTAGGGCACTTGTGATTGAAGGAAAACTTCTCATCACAGAAGTAATATAGACCTTTCTCTCGTCTCAATTGCATTTCTTCTAGACTTATCCTTTTTACATTCGAATTTCTCAGTTGGGGTCCTAGAGGGTTAGGTAATAACGGTGGTACGGTGGTCTTTGTGTTTGGTAAGGTGTTTTTGGGCATCAATCTGGAGGTTGAAGTGGTAGATGAGCTAATGAAGGGTGAATGGTTATATTTGGTTGGGTAATTAACATTGGGTTTCTGACCAGGCGTGTATTTTTCTTCATAAAACTTAGCTAAAGCAACCACTCGTAAAATATTTGGTGGTGAAAATGCAATCACATTACGCTTAATATCAACATTTAAACCACTTATAAAACAATTCAGTATTGCTTCCTCAGTCAATCCTTCCGATCTATTAGCAAGAGACATAAATTGCAGATAATAATCCGATACTGACCCGTTTTGTTGTAGTTTAAACAAATCTGCCATTGGACAATCAAAGGGAGAAGGGCCAAATTGAGATTCTAATGCCCGTGTTAGTGCTGACCAAGTTGGAACTTCCTCGATCTTCTGTAACATCTGAAACCACGACACTACATCCTTTTCAAAATGCATAGATGCAATATTAACACGCTCTGCATCTGGTGTATAGTGATAATTAAAGAATTTGTCAGCCTTGAATATCCATTCCAATACTGAAAAAGAGCCATCGTAATGTGGAAAACCAATGGAAATGTCCTTAATCGGTGAAACCATTGTGATCGGAGGAACTATCCCCATTGAATTTGAGTTTGAGGGACTTCCATGAGTGTGAGAAGAATTTTGCAACAATTGCTGTAACGACAGCTTGATCTCCTCCATCGTAGCTTCTTGAGCACGAGTCTTAGCTTCCATCGTTTTTTGAAGTTTTTCCACCATCGTAGCCAAATGGCGAATATCATCTGCGTTGGTGCAAATCTCTGCTTGCATTTCCTTCATTCTGGTATTCTCCGCCATGGAAGTCAATGAAAGCACCAATGTAACAGTGCTAAGAATTTATAGAATTAAATGGTCACTCTTTAATTATTACTCCAAACAACCAAAATTAAATGTCAACAAAATCATAACAATTATTAACGAAATAACTACAGAAACACAGCAACTACGGTAATCATTAGGGACTGGTAAGAATTCGGCAAGAGATCCATTCCTGAAATAGTATGACACAGATGAAATTTAAAGTAGGGTTCAGATCAGATAGACGACAGAGAATAGAATTCAAGGAGAGAGAAAATTCATACCACAAGCTATTTTTCACGTATGAAATCACGCAATTTAACGTTCTCCCTCCTTTCACGTGAACTCTTGCGCAATCCCATGCTCCTTTCTTCGTTTGACATGTGGCCATTTTGCTCATCAAACTCTTCCGCTACTATAGAACCTTCCGTCGTGTGTGTTACAGATTAGCATTATTCCACATAAAAATGGGCCAAAGGTTTTAATTCCCACTACTTTTCAATTTTAAGCTAAAGTCAAAGTATGCTCGTTAATCTTCAGAAAACGTTCATCTTATGGGATTAAGTGAATAATAAATAAATAAATTCTCAAATTAAACATTTATAAATTAAAAAAAATGAGCGTTAAAAAATTTAATATCTTAATCTAGTTCAATTTAAATTGAAATTTAATATGACTATTGAAGACTAAGTTTAATTAAAAAAAAAAAACTTATAATAACGTTATTGACTTGTGTAAGTGTAATATTTACCTATATTATTTATATTGTATAGAGTCGCACAACAATTATTATTGCCCTTTTATAATCCCTTTCATAGAAACGAAATATAAAACTAGCAGAATGAATAAATTATGGGGTTAAGTCTAACAACGCTTGAGGCTCAATGACCTTTTGAGAATTCTCTCTTTCTAGAAGCCTCTGTTACAGTCAAAGACTAAAAATCTCATTATTCGTTACATGTGTTCACTTGTGGAATTTGTCTCATATTCTAAAGATAAGAACAAAAAAGGAACAATCTTATAAAACAGTGTACCCCTAGTTATGCAATCTTCTACTGTAACATTTTTTTTCTTATAGGACACTCACAAACTAGAATGTTAAAATGCCTTGTACTAATACTCACCCACCATCCACCAAAGTGACTCTAAAGAAATCTCTAGCCTCATTGGAACTTAGCACAAGCAACGAGAGTTACCTACGTCTTGTACATAGTTTGATCTGTACAATTGGTGGTGTTAGTGAGAATCAAACACATTCATTTGTATTAGTTACCAGCCAACGTCATGGGCACAACGAAATTAGTAAATTAATTAAATAAATAAAGTGTAAGTAAATTACCGATAGTAGTTTTAGAATCAATCTTTCATATATTTAATTAAATTTAAATTCAAATTAACTAAGTTAATACAAAAGTTTTATTATAACTATTTCACTTCAACCTATAATTTGATATCCTATGATGATAACACATGTGATTTTTTTACATATTAAAAATAAAAATAGATTGAAATATAGCCATATGATTTTGTACTAAACACATTAAAATTCATACTGAAAATCGAAGAATTTATACATAAAATATCACAATCAAATTATAATGCTTATACAAATAAAGTAACTAATTAATAAGTTAAAAATATCAAATATTTTATTTTTGAAACGACACAAAAATCTTCTGTTATCTACTAATAAAGGTTTTGCTCTTAATTCAGGTCTCTTATCCATCCATATTATTCATATTTTTTTCCCTCTCAACTCTTTTAATTTTATTTCATCGTCAATAATTAATAAAAGAATAATTTAACAAAGTAATAGCTTACATATCATCCGAGCGAGATTATGTATTTCATAATGGAAACGGAGCTTTCAATTATTTTAAAAAATTATAAACGGTATCCATGTTAAATAACAACTATGAATATAAAATGAAAATTCAATAAAGCACAATGGGAGAGTTTATTCAAGTATATACTTAGAGTGTGTGCATATCAAAGAATTATTAATTTAATAAAATAAATTTATTTAGTATGCCTAATTATTTAGTTATCTAAATTTATGATGAAATAATTTTGTTATTAATAATTTTTTTACGTAAAATTAATTGGTAAACTTTGATCTAACCTTTACTTTATTACAATATGATTTGAAAATTTTAAATTAAATTTGTCTTCTTTTTATTAATTAGTTTGTTAGCTACATTTACTAATATTGGAATTAAATAAATTAATTTGAAAATATAATGAAAGCCATATTGTTACTAAAAGTGCAAGAATTGGAATATAAGTAACTTGATTGAACTTGCTACATGCCCTATTCAAGAGAGCTTTCAGCTTCTAATTTTGATTGGTTCCAGTTGAGAACAATTTTACAAGCAAAGGAGGGATGGATCCAAACAAGAAGAAAAAGGACATTTATAGATAATATAACTCAAATAAGAGAACCAATGATCTCACCAAAATATCTAATGAAAACCTCCCCGTCTCCCTCCTCCCCAATCAAGGAAGCATCACATCTTGCATGCAAAGTCACGTACAGTTAATTAGAACTGATGATTAATATAATTAAAAGTGATAAATTTTTATTAAAAATAAATTATTTATCATTAGGAGAATAAAAAAAATTATAAATATTATTTTTTAATACAATTTATAAATGCTTAAACTTAATTTTAAGTGCTAAGATTAAAAAAACCCTTATTTAAACGGTAGATTCATAATTTTAAGTTACTTTGATGTTTTGGTTATGGCAAATGATGAAGAAAACTTACTTTTCTTTGTATGAATTCCTTTAATTGAGAGTGATCAATAAAGAAAGAGATCTTACTAGGCGTTTCCTTTATAGCTTAGCCAGACATTAAAAAAAGTCATATATTATTGAGAAAAAAATTGGGGCTTTAAAATTGCTTTTATTTGCATATTTTTGCTTAAGAAAATTTTTAAAAATAAATATTATAAATTTATGCTAATAATATAATGTATTATTAACATATTATTAACATGTTATTAATTAAAAGTAATTGTATAAATTCGCAATGTCAACATTAATGATATAATTTCTCTGGGATAAAAAGTTATACTAATGGATGTTGACTTTTATTTTTCTATTACGCTTAGGTGCATTGATTGTTAAACTTAATTTTTAGAGATTTGTTTAGTTTAAAAGATTTTATTAGTTGTAAACTGTTTTAAAATTTAAATAAAAAAAGATAATCTAAATACACAGAAATCAAATTGACATTAAGAATGCAAGCTTGAAAGAATTCATACAGAGGAGAAGGGAAAAGCTTGGCTCTGTTAAATTGATGAGAGTCCTTGTTGGATGCAAAATGTGGTCCTAATTAATAATGCTTTCTTCACCGTAAGAAGAAACAAGTACTGTATTTATTTAATTTTCGGAAGGTGTAAGTAAGACACTAATACTTTTCATTCGAAGATTTCAACATCTAAGGCCATGTCCATTCTCTTACGCTATTAGATACTCTAACTAACTATTAATTACTGCTCAAAATTAAATGCAAGTTTTATTAATAATATAGCATTTTACGAGCTTTTAATAATTTTTACTTTACAACTGATTTTTATATACATGTTTGATAGAAGGAAAATTTTCCTAAATTATGGAACCTTGTTGATAAAATTCACGATGAATACGTGGATTTTATATTTTAAAGATTATAGGAAACTGAATTTCGATTAGAATTATGTGATTTTAGGCTCTTAATCTAAGTTTTGACATATATATATTTTTTAGAAAAGCCTCATTTATGTTGAAAAATGACTGATAACTTTTTTCTTAAGTTTTTAGAACTTATGATTCAAGATTAAAAGAACTAAAATTAGTAAAAAAAAAATATTTCAAAACTTTTAGTTATAAAATTGTCGAAATAGCTAAAAGAGAAGGAAGAATTCTTTACAAGTCTAATATCATAATACTTTTCAATTTATTTACTTACTTATTGCAAAATTTACCGTAAACAATACAAAGATAATTTTAAGTCAATTTTTATAACAAATTCATTTCTCTCATCGAATCTACTCATATATACCAGTAGGAATATAATTTTTGTTTTGATATAACTGAGCACTCACTACGATGGACTTTGTTAGTCACTGTACAACTACATGTAAAGTACTAATACCATTAGTCCTTGTAAAAACGAAACTCTTTGGAAATGGAAATCTTGACACTTAAGTAACCTTTATATTTCATTGCTTTTCAGATTCCCACACGTAGGACTAAAGGGTAAGTTATTGTATTCACTACATTTATATGAGAAGTTTCAATCGTGTAAATATTTTATATATCATCTTCAATATGTTATAATGTCAGATTTTGTTTTTTTAAAGCTTTTATTATAATCAAATTCCTGTAATAAAGTGGCAGCATGTAGATTGTTTAATATGCACACTAATGTTAAGAAATTTTATACTAATAATATGTCACACTTAAACCTTACGAATGATATATAAATTAAGAAATTGTAGTTGCAACTTAAAGTAGACATATAGCAATCCGAATTCCCTATCTGCTATAAAGCTAGCAAGGACCAATTAGAAGAAAGAAGCAAATGAAGGTTTTTTATGACCTTCAAACATAAACCAATGTTATTATTAAACATGGCGCTAGATTGAATGACAAATATATATATATATAGCGCCAAGAAAATACATTTATCAACAAAAGTGAGATCTAACTAGTAACCCGGCACTCATTTATATATTTTGAATGCACAATTACTCCGAATAAACGCGTCTGAGAAAAGTTTGAGCTTGAATAATTAATCTCTTACATTAAAAGTAGTATACATAAACAAATGAAGAAATATCAATCCTACCATTATCTCTTACTTTAAACAATTACACAGCCACATTTTCAATTCTGAAGCCCCATCTCCTTCCAACCCCACATACATAAATCATATACTACCGATAAGGAATGAATAAGGAGAGCCAATTTAAAACCATGATGTTTACATGCAGCTTCTTCCCACGTGTGAATTCAATGCTTGCACATGTCCTAGACACGTGTGGGCTATATAGGCTTTGCTAGCTAGCATATATCCATGCCAAAAAGCAATACTTATGTAAACATATACAATGTCTATAGACACAAAATATCAATTCACCCCAAGATAATATCAAAATAATTTTGATATTTTGATACACATTTTACTATAGACCTTATTATTATTGTAAAATATTTTTCTTTTGATCACAGTTGTGGGTACCCTATTGCCATCTTCATTGGTACTTTCGAATGATGACATGGTTTTCACTTGTCGAAAAAATATTGGATATATAATTTAAGATCATCACATATTTATAGTCTCAGCTAACTATAATTATCAAATAACACGTAACAGAGTGTTAGTATTTGCTCTTATTAATTGAAAAACACAGTGACCTATCATATGATATAATCGGCTGAGAGACACGTGGTAGTTCGGAATCACCTAATAATTTCTCCGGCGAGAGGGAGATGGTTGAGACGCAGAAGGGGTAGTACTAACCTTGTAAGGGAAAGCCTCTTCACAGATCTCATTGAAGGCTTTAACAATAACATGGTGGTGACAAGTGGCATTGAGGTGAAGAAAGCATTGCAAAAGGTCTTGAAGATCGTCCTCCGATTCGATCTCCTTCTCAAAGATCATTTGGAGCATGGAGTGTCTAAAATCATGATATGGGTTTGAAGAGTCCTTCTCAATGGCCACACTATCCACGAGTGGGCTTCGTTTGAGTACAACGTTGTTGTTGTGGTCGTGAAATGTCTCGGATTCGGAGATTGTGGTGGAGGTGAAATCTTCTTCATCAACGGAGATGGCACTGTTGTGTTCCAATGAAGTGGTGGAAGATGCCATGCTGCTTGGGTTTGTGATCTTCTGGTGAAGGGAGATTTTGGGTTTTGGGGTGGGTTCATGTACTTCAGAGGCCTTTGTTTTGCTACAACCACAGCTTCCGTTTGCCGTGAATACGGTTCTCAAAAGACTTTTTTTATTGGAAGACATTAACCTACTAAATTAGTTAACACACACAGAGAGATAATATATATAAATATATAGAGAGAGAATAGAGGGGCTCTTGTTTTTGCTTTTATTTTTTTGTGCGTGTGTTATGGGAATGGAGAAAAGTGGAACAAAGATAGATAGGGCAAGGTAGATGGGGGAGTATGGTAGGATTCCTTTTCGAAATAACTTTGTGCTGAGCTTTGATAAACAGAGATACAAAGCGGATAAAGTGAACAATTAAATTGGTGTGCTTGGAGAAGAAGGTGGAATAAGGGATGGGAGTCTCTTTCGGAAATGTTTGGTGGAAAAAAGGGTTGGAGTTTGGAGGGGTTTTTATTAAGGTATTTGACTTGACGTAGGAGTGTAAGGGATTAATCATTTGATCAATCTTCGGGGAGAAATATCCATCGTCATGATGAGATTCTTCTTTTGGGTTTGTTTTCAATTATTAAGGAGTTAATTTTCGTATGATTAAATATTTCCATTAGACTAATAATTAGCCTTGTGTTTAGCTGCCTAGTTCCACAATACCATAATTCAACCACAAAAAAGAGAACTCTTAATTTTCAACAGAAATGTTACGCTGACACTCTTAAAATGTGACGTGATTTGAGTTGAGGAAAAAAGAGAGACAAAAATTGTGATAGATAATGTAACAAATAAAAAAAGCACGTAGAGACATAAATGTTTCTCAACTTTTAAATAGTAACATATAGTCCTTACGTCATTAAATTTACAATAAACTTAATTCTCACGTAGTAAAAACACGAAAATTACCTTAAACTCAAAAAGAAGAATCCTTTGTAGACAAAGTTGGCTTCCAAGGAAACACACTAATACTACTATTATTTTATATATTTGTATAGACTTATTTCAATCTTAAATTGCGGTTTCCTTCCTCCATCGACATGCTTCTGCCAATCGGTTTTCTTTCGTTTTTCTCCACTCAAGTTTTGTCTTTATAAGGTGTCTAATATGGAGCATGAAAATATTCTAATAAACTATCTTATAAATATATATATATATATATATATATATATATAAGATAGTTTAATATTGTTTAAGAAATTATTAATTGAGGAAAAAATTGGCCGCTTTATTTCAATTCAAGCGTTTATTCGAAATTAGTCATAAATCAACCGACTTGCATCCCACCAGAAGTTTCATTCAAATAAATTATTTGGTATCAGTAAACATCTGTCGCACCGATAAGAGGATTAAAGCCTTTTTTGTTCAATAGCACAATAGCTTGTAGCACCCTAAAGGCTAAAACAGAACAAAATGAAATAAATAAATAATCATAAAATAATTATATTATATTTAAAAATGAATATAATATTAAATAATTAAATTAATTATTGATATAAATAATAAATAAGTATCGTGTTAATACAAATTTTATAATAAATATGAATATAAAAATTAATAATTAATATTTTAAAAATATATTATTTTTTATAATTAAGAAATATTAATGATTATTTCTCTAAGAATCAGATTGAGTAAACTGCTAAAAATGTTAGCACATATTAATGAAAAGTTACATTACTTTGTGCCAGTTATAAGATATTATTACAACACACATAAATAAGTAGTACTCCATGTATGGCTAAAAATTTGAATTTGATATTAAATTTACAATACGACATGTGGCCTTCCTTCCACTATATGCTCTTTGTTGTTTCTTAAAATAAAGTGGAGAAATATTAGGTCTTGCCGTCTTGCCGGTAATTAACTTGATTTGAGTTTTGACATAAACATTATTAAAGTCCCTCTACAATTTTTTTATTAGATGCATGAGCATCTTGTTCTTAATTGATTATCCCATCAAGGGATTAAATTATTTCATATGTACATGCATATGGAAAATTTACATTTTGCTATGTATATGGAAACTGAATTTCTTAATCGGATTAAGGTCAATGAACTAAATTGATACAAGGAGCGGATTGTGCTAGTTGGAAGATCAATTTTAAACCATCTGAAGCTGTTGTTTAAGCAACATAAAAAACAAAGCTCTAACGCAATTAAGCCACCAACTTTTTCTTGCATGTTAAGCTTTACATTTAATCCGTTGCAGCAAATTTACCAAACACAGTGGCATCAATGCATCATTCGCAGTTCAAATTTCAACTATCTCATTCTGATACGAAAGGGAAAAAAAATATTATATATCAATATTAGTGACTCATAATGGTTGAAAATAATTTAAATATAAATATTTTAAAACAAAAAATTTTGCTATATTTTCTTATGTATATTCTTAATAATCTTTCTATTATTTAGAAAATAAATATCACATCAAACTTCGTATTGTATTCAATATCAAACTCATTATACATTCCTTGAGAACTAGCTGCATGTATTAAATTTAAATTTGAAGAGAAAGTTTATTAGTTCTATTTGACTCGACTTATATTAGTCGAATGTCCAATATAGTATTTGGATGCTAATGTTCATGCAATTAAATAATTCAGCAATAGTAGCTGAGAATGTCGGGTCCTGAATTGCCTAGGAAACTCGTGAAAGGAAAATTTCACTGTCTTAATTAGTTGTAGTTGATGAGGTTAAGAGGTCGGTCATGTAGCTTCTGGTTTTTTCCTGGAGAGGACCTTGCAGTTGCAATTATTGTTCTGATATTCGATCCAGTGAAACCAGGTGCTCCATCAGTTAGTTGTGTTTGTGATGTTCTCTAGTCATGGACAAATAAATATATAGTATATATTATAAGCATAACTATGTATTTACATTATTAAGTGAGATCTAAAAGTTGATTGAAGTAAAGAAAAGAGAAATTAAAGACGAATAGGTATCTTAGGATCTGTTTATTTCAATATATATTTATGGAGCTATTGTCTTGCACTTGTGCATGAATAAAATAAAAAAATTAATTTAAAAAATGTTTTTAAATATTTTAAGAAATTTTTTTATGACAAAATAAAATATATAATATAGAAGTATTGTTAAATGAAAAATTGATTTATAAATAGATATAAATTATTCTAAAAATAAAGTGCAAAAGCATTATTGGTTACAATACACAATTAATAAAAAATTATTATTGAAAATTTTAATATTTTATATTATTTTCACATGATAGCTTATAATATGATACTTTTTCTTTAAATAAAGTTTTAAAAACGTAAGTAAGAAAAGAAAACGAATGTATTTATATTATTCATCTTAAAATTTTAGACTCTTTAATAGATGATAAATCAAAATGAAGAAATTCTTATATCTTTTATATTAATATTTTTTTATTATGTTACTTATTATCTTTATATATTTAAATTCAGTTGACATGACATGACTATAAAAGTTGAACATGAGAAATAAATTTCAACAGGATTGCTGAAACCCTAACAGAAGGTAAAACCAAAAAAATAAGATGAAGTGACCATCTTCAATTCATGAAATGAATTCATGAACGTGCGAAATGATTGTCTCTAGTTAATGGTAAAGTAGTTCCTCATTAATAATTTTTTTTTACAAACGGTAAAATTCATTCCTAACTATTATTAAATGATAATTACTTTTTTAATTTAAAGGTAAAATAACAGAATCAACAAGATAATTCCTTTCATATATATAATCTAGATAAGTTAATTTTTTTTATAAAAAAATAGACATTGTTGATCCACCAGAAAATAGCATGCCAAAATTTTACTACATATTGTTATATTCTTAATATGTTAATTTTACCTTCTCAAAGAATTTCTCATAATATAATCAACCGTCTTTAAATAAATGATTTTTCAGAAATACTTGATTTTCCATGAATAAAGCTCTTGAGCTGTTGACAGTTGACTTTACATTATTATATTCATTGCACATCTGGTCTATGGAATTAGATATGATGGTCCAAATGGCACTTCTAGATGTAATCTGCACACCTCAGCTATCTGCTCATGAAATAATTAGGCAAAAATGGAACTCTTATACGATTCAACTTTTACTTTTTGAAAATTTTCTGTCAAAATGGATGATATTAAATGTATTTGAATAAGTAATTTAATTAAATATTTATTTAAAAACTATTTTAAATGAAGTTTATTGTATGAATTTAATTAAAGAATTTATTAGAATAAACTAAAAAAAATCATAACTTAGTTTTATAAATTCTTCTAAACATCTTTATAATACGTATTATAAAATTTGTTATAAATTTATAAAGCAGGGTTTACATAATTGGTAAGATGTTCATATCCTAATCCCTAAGTTAAAAATTTTATATCATCGTTACAAGAAAAACAAATCCTTTATTGTGAGAATAGAAATGTAGATTTTACTTTCTCTCGTTGGTGAAGTATAGTTTTGGAATTGATTCTTCTGTTGCCCCTACGTATCTGTTAAAAGTGTATTAACTAAAAATCACTGTCTGTAAAACTATTGTTGATTTATAAAAAAAATATATAAGAAAATGAGGTGAGAAAAATAAGTGGGCGAAGTAATTGCTGCACCAGCATGGGGTTGCTTTTTGCAATTTTCTTTACATTATAATAATTTTTCTAAAATATTTATAATAAAATTTAAATTATTTAAATAAAAAATATTTTTTTTAAATTAAAGAACTCTAAATTTTACTATTTATATTTCAAATTTTCAAGTAAATTTTTTTCACTCTTCATTTTATTGTTTTTTCCTCCATTACTTTAAGCTTTATGATTCTTTTATTATTGTTTATTTTTAATGTATTTTAAGTATTATTACTCTTCAATACGTCAATTGGATTGAATGTATTATCAAAAAAATTGATTTCTTGTTAAAAATTATATTTTTATGTTTTTTTTTTACCCGTCAACTTCGACACTTTTTTTAAAAATAAATTTTTAAAATTAAGATTCTACACTATGAAAATCAATTATTAAAATTAAACTCACACTTTCATAAATTAATTTTTCAAAAATAAAATTTTAAAATTAGAATTTTAAAATAAATTTATGAAATTATATTAATTTTAAACTTATATTTTTACAATTCCAAAAATTATTTTTTAAAATTATTAATTATTTTAACAAATATTTTTTTTAAATTAAATTAATTTTAAATTTTAAGTTTTCACACTTGTAAAAATAAATTCAAGAATTATTTATTATTTTTATAAATAATTTTTCAGAATCAAAATTTTATGTTTATAGAAATAAGTTTTTAAAATTAAAATTGTACACTATTGAAAATTAATTTTTTATATTTTTATAAATTAATTTCAAGAATTATTAACTCTTTCCTAAAATAAGTTTCTGAAATTAGAATCTTACTCTTTCTAAATTAATTGTTTGTATGTAAATTTCTAAACTTAAGTTTTTGAAAATATTTTTTTATACAAACATCTGGAATTTAATTTTTGAAAGTCAATTTAGACATATTTTTAAACTTTAAATTTCACCTCAAAATAAAAAATAATAAAAAATTAAAATGAAATCATCATAAAAATATTTTAAAATAAATTATAAAACTTTTTAAATGAAGAATAAAAAAAAATGCAAAAATACTAGCTACATGTCCTTTCCCGTTACCATAAATTTAAAGGCACGTGCTGTGGCCACAATCTTTTCTTGGGCTTATTTTGGAAGCCCATTGCAATGGACAAAGAAGACTTTCCCATTGTGAATTCATGACATTCCCAGCTTCAACGTGGAGTTCATAGTGATCTTTTGTCCTATCATTATCTTTTACTATCTTCTTTTTCCCTTGTTGGCTCCAGTAAGCTCACATAACACTTTGTGTGTCTGATATTTTCCATTTTTTCAGCTTTCAATTTTGATCATCAAACAACGTAAGTTCTGAGTCTTAGGTACAATATTCCAAAAATGACATCTCTGCTACTCCCATCACCATCTTGTGCTTCTTTACTGAGCAAGAGGACTAATAGATTTTGCAATCATTCTTCATTTCACACACATAAATTCCATGTAAAGAGCTTTAGCGTAAAAGCACTTAGAGAGGAAACAGAGGAAATCAAAAGCCCGTCACAGCCATCTTCAGCTGAGGAAGTTACAAAGAAGTATGGGCTTGAAGCTGGTCTTTGGAAGGTGGCCGTTTCTTTCTCTAATCTATTTTTGCTTAACTAGTTATTTGGAGTATGTGGTTGCTAAAAATTTCCAATTTTTTAAAGCAAAGGGTTCTTGTTTTTATGTGGTTTCCTGTTTATTATGTATAATTGCTACCAAGCTACCCATTTTTCTTGGCTTATCTGTCAAGTGCGTAATGTTTCCCACTCTATTAAGTCTGTTGCAAAAAAGATGCACAATTTGAATTCGGCATAAGGAAAGTTAAATGTATAGTTGGAGGATATACTAAGATGGGACTTTGCTGCTGAAAGTTTAGGGAAAGTAAATTTAGTCAAAAGTGAACAGAAAGCTTGAAAAATTTTAGTCTTGAGCTAGTGTGGGAAAATAATTAGTTTTGCTTCTCAAATCGAATTCGGGTTTGCTTTCTTGATGCAACTTCCCAGCTTAAATGTTGCGTTGACCACAAAAGACGTGCCTCTTGATCAAAGTTTTATTGTTGAAGTCATACCCAATTATGTGTTTTATCCCTGAATTGCAGGTTTTCTTTCCATTTGTTCCTTTAGCCTTCTTTTTCACCCCAGTTTTGTGGAGCAAATGATGGATTGTGGTTGAATTATCTTCAAGGAGGGTTAACTAATAAACCAGTAATCTGTCTAAATTGAAAATTTGGTTTTTTGCAGATTTTCAGCTCAAAGGAGGAAGGAAAGAATAATTCTGAACAACAGAAATCAAAGGGTGATCAAGCCAAGGAATTGCTAGCGAAATATGGAGGAGCATATCTTGCCACCTCCATAACTCTATCATTGATCTCTTTTGCACTTTGTTATGCACTAATTAGTGCTGGAATCGATGTCCAATCTTTACTGCAGAAGGTGCCAACACTTAAACAAAACCTAATGTATAGATACGATCTAATTTAAAACAAAATAAATTTTACCGATTAATAAACTGCATGTTAATCTTCAGGTGGGAATTTCAACTGATGAGACCGGCGAAAAAGTTGGTACTTTTGCTTTGGCATATGCTGCACATAAAGCTGCATCTCCAATTAGGTTTCCACCCACGGTTGCTCTTACCCCAATTGTAGCCGGTTGGATTGGAAAGAAAGTAGAGAAAGATAAGTAACTTGTAGTGGTACCTTCGAATACCAAACAGTGTTTACCTGCCTTCTGTTATAATATTTACATTTTAATGGCCAGATGAACATATGTTTAACCCACTAATGGGCATGTACATCCTTATTAAGAAAATGATGTTTATTAATAAAATTCTATATTCATCAACTACATGTCACTAACATTGTTATAATTCGCTTGCATGATTGATTGCATCCTCCATTTTACTAGAATTGCTATATAGCGCACTAATAAGTTGCTGATTGTAGTCACTTATATTGGAATATTGAGGGAGCAACAGATAGAAGGTAATTACCAAGTCGCTAGAAACGGAATGACTACAATTCCAGACAATTAGTTCACGAACAGTTTGCTGAAATTGCGAGCATCGCAATTATTGAAATGGATGAAGTGTGATAAATGAACACATTGGATGGGAGCATAACTCTTTCAATTTGCATTCCAAGTGTTTTTATTGCTTGCCAAAATATAAGACATCGAGCATCGAGCTAAGTACACTACAAAGCCATGACTTACAATAATATACAAAGATGGGTTCAGAAAGCCGCTAGATTTTTTTTTTCTTGAACTACAAGGTCACTTGGATTATGTAATATTTACTGTACAATGAGCAGTTGATTGGCCACTCGGTTCCTCGGACGAGCTTCTTGGAGAAACATGAGAAAGCATCTTCATGGAACCTTCAATCCAACCTCTAGGACTATGTTGAAGAGAATACAAGAGGGACATGGCTGATGGCTGGATGTCATAGGTTCTCGACGGGAAAAGGAACACCACTTTTCCCTATTATATTCACAAATATCATTTGGAAGCTTCAACCTCCAGTAGGGTTAGATGCAGAAGACAATTCACCAACGTTTGAAGGTTGACTTGGGGTCGGATGACTTGGGGACGTAGTGTGCTCACGAGTCATGCAATAATCTTCTTGTAGTGTATCCAGGTCATTCCATTCAACTCCAGCTGCAAATGTATCAAGGATATATTCAAAATAATCACCAATCCTGGATTCCATTTTTTTTCACTTATTTTCATAAAGAATAAAACTAAAACCCCTCCTCTCCAGGTGTTGATATATGTGCACCAGCGTACGCTAGAGAAAGGGAGAGAGAGCATGCAATATATATAGACATATATATATTTTTGGACCTTGCATTTTCATGAATTTTTTGTTTTCGTTCTTCGAAACTTTTTCTTTTAATTTTGGTCCCAACATTTTCGCAAGTTTTTTTTTTTGGTTCCAGTCTCCCTTATAAACATGATTGCCTAGGAGGCTACCATGAGAGGAATTTTTTAGAGCCTAATCAATTGAAGGGAAAAAAAGGTTTGGAGGGACTAATACCAAATGTTTGCAAAGATGTCAAGACCAAAAATATACTTAAGTATGCGTGTGAGTGCGTGTATGTGAAGAATGAAATCGTGACTAAGGTGTTCAGAGAGGATACGTTCTGTTCTCCACATGTCAGTTATGCTAACATCAGCATCTGATAAAAGCCAGTAATCAGCTTCACTCTGCAAAGAGAAAAAAGATTCAAATAAGCTCCTAGACTCACACTTTCCTTTTAAATCAGAAACAATACTAGCAACTTCATGCTAACAAGTTACAACAAAGAAACATGCTATAATTGATTTGCATAAATTTTGAAAGACAACACCATACGGCTTTTGAGACTCTGCTGCCATAGCCCATAAGATACACTCTTCCCTCACAACTTGGAACATATGTATTATCGCAAACATCTCATAAACTAAAGTGATACTTACAGCGACATCTGAAGGAACAATCTTCATGATCCCACTCACAAAATCCTGAGAGGTAGTAAAATCTGAACTAGACCCATGACCATCTTCTTGTCCCTGCACTTCTATGTCCTTCCCTCTATCCTCTGGGACCACTGTTGATTGATGCTTGTTAAGTTCTGGACTCGATGGAAATTTGGGTGCAACATCAACCCCATTAATCTCTTCAAACTTTTCTTCAAATTGACTAGAATGGCAGAGAGAACAGGAATGTCAACTTTATTACATGTTGCAATTGCCGAGCATCATTGCTTATCTGGCTTTGTCTCCTAACCGTGCATTGCAATAAACCCTCGAGGTAAATGGTTTTAGAATCATAAAAAAAAGTAAGCATACCTAACAAGGTAAACATCTATTGGGCCCATTGTGCTTCTGAGGACAATCCTGTATCTCCTCTGCGGATAATCAACAGCCTAATGGAAGAGGAGCATTTTCAATGGGAAAGATGCATGTGATAATAATAATTCCTACTTAACTCTTCATGCCCTCTCAAATTACCTCATCTGGATCAGGGACCTCCAAAGTGGTGCCATGTGGAGCTTTAATTGCTATCAATGTTTCATTCTGGCAGAGTAAAGAAAATGGGTTAACATCCCGAAAAAATATTATATTGTAAGATGTATAAAGAATACAGAATTCATAGAAAATATTTAATCATAGACGAAGAAACTAACCTGGAAGCAGGGCAAGTTCTTTATATCTTCCTCAGTGACAAAAAGCAACCTATGAAGGTGGAAATAGATTAAAGAAAAATACCTCACATACTTATGAACACAAAATTGTGGCAAAATGACCCAAAGATGGATAGGGTGAAAAAAATATTACTTTTCATTGTTTTCATCTTCACTAAGACCCCGTAATCTTTCTTGCATCTCCCTGCAATAATTTGAAAAATTAGTTAATATAGAAAACAGAAAAAACAATTAAATAATTCAATAAAGAATAAGAAAGGAATGGTACCCAAACCTTATTTGTTCATCTAACCGGCGCTCCTCTATTGTTAAATTTTCAACTTCTGCCTGCAAATGAGAAACAAAAAGAAATCAAATACCAACAAATTTCAAGAATTAATACTACCGTTCAAGTCTAATGTATGAAATAAATTGTATAAACATAAACTCATTTCCAATACCCCTCGCAAAGAAAATTACTGAAATTCAAATCAGAAGGTCTTAACATTTATTTCAATCAAAATATTTCACATGGAGATGGTTTCTTTGGAAGATGTAAAGACTGATCACAGATGCAATTTATGATTTCCTGTCAAGAACTTTAAGATTTCCAATAAAGAAGGTCTTTACATCTCTATGATCATCTTTACATCTTCCAAAGAAACCATCTCCATGTGAATTCCCAGAAGAGAATTAAATCATTCCTAACCTGTAAACTAGCAAAACTATCATCAGCCTCCCCTGGTCTTGAAACATCCAGTCCCCTGACCAATCATTGAAAGAGTAGGTAAAATAGTTTCAATACCTTCGAAAACAAATATGACAACAATGATAGACATAAGAAATTCCTACTTCCATTGAATCCTGTTCTTGAGTTTCTTTTCTATAAGGCCAATCCCTTCAAGAACATTTGTTATATCATATATCCTCCTCTTTTGCACCTGTAGTTAAAAAAAAAAAAAAACATCATCAAATAATCAAACTTTATAGCATGGAATCATTCGAGCAGAAGAAAATATATTAACCTCTAATGTGTCAGCAGCTTTATTCAGATCAAGGATACCATCCTCTGCTTGTTTGATCAAATTGATGAACTTCTTTGTCAACAGACCTATTTTTTAAAAAAGAAAATGTCATATAGAATAAATTAAAAAATGTGTAGAGACCTAATTTTGTCAGTATTCAGTAAAACATATAAAACAAAGGGTGAACTACACTTTATCCCCTAGTAGTTTCACCACTTTCAGATAAACCACTGGACTGTTTTCTGTAACTCAACCCCCCTCAACTCAGCTTTAACCTTGAAATGTTAACTTCAATTGGCATCAATGGCAATTTACCATTTTCATATTGATTACGACCAATTGTGCTTTTCAATTTGAAGCTGCGCAACAAGCAATGTCGTTGAATGTTCAGGGTACCAACTTTGTTACATTTCTACTCAACACTAAATGAAAATTGGATAGTGGTGACTGTTCAGACCCATGTGTCCATTGTCAGCAGCAAAATGCACCGTAGAGGAGTGGACTGACAACACTGGATTTGCCTTGGGCACTAGATCTTCAATACTAACAGTACCAATTCTTTGGATTAATCACAGGTTGAAAAATCTGGGGCATTCTTCAATATGGAGGATAGTGCTGAAGGAGAGGGTTGTGGCACAGATTGTGCCTCCTCCACAGGTAGTCTGCACAGGAATATGGTGTATAGGAAGGCTTTGGCAAAGTGGTGGAGATTGTGATTTTGGACAACAAGGAGCTAGTCAGCCACTAGATGAGTGCCGTATTAGTAATTTGATTTGGTATGGTTTGGTTTAGTTAAATACAGTTAACTGAAAGCGACACGAGAGTAGTTATCCAAACCATTTTTAAGACATAAATCAGTTTGGTTGTTAGAAATGCTATACACAATTTGGCTCTTCTTGGACAGTTCAGTTAGGTTTGCAATCAGTTTGGTTTTTAATGGTTCTTTTCCCACCCTTACATACATCCCATAGTTCTTTTAGGAGGGTATTGTGTAAAATAAACTGTAAAATAAACAATAACTTTATAGTGGTGGGTTGTGACAATACTAAACCACAAGGATTTAGTGTGTGAAATAAACAAATATTATTTTTCAACTTTAACCAAACTCTTTAAAAAGAAAAAATCAATTTAAATCTATTAAGGGGGGTTAACACCAACAACAAAAAAAGTTGAAAAAGGATGAAACTACAAGGGTGCACTGTGTAATTTACGCTATAAAGAATAGAAGACAATAAACAATGAACTAACAAATGCGGTAATACCTAAAGAGCTGTCATAGCGACATGGACCAGCAGGAGTGAGATTATTGCCTGAAGGAGAACCTGCCAAGTTTATAGAAAATAATATCTAAATTTCTTGCATGCCAAAATTGACGAAGGTGTATGTTAGTAGACAGGCAACCAAAATACTGGTTTACCTAAATTTTCTTCAGATGTCCATTAAACAAATATATAAACCTAATATACAAAAATTGGAAAAAGGTAGTCACCAATATTTGAGCCTGGGGTTTGAGTTCCAGGTCTGTTGCATTTTGTCAGCCTAGAGGATTTGCCTCCCTTTCCCATCTTTCCTGATACCGGTGTCTGAAAAGGACTATTAGCTGCTTCAGTGGATCCAGGAGTCGTCCTATCACCAGAATCAGCTTCAAATTCAGCTGTTTCACTCTTCCGCTTCAGTTGCTGAAATGTGAAAACATAATAATTGCAATCAATAGAAATGATAATAAAAAGAAGTTAGAATAGTAAGAATTACATTTCAAAAATAATTCATGTGCCATAATCATCTCACCATAATGGATAATCTATATTTAGTTTCAATTCATTGCAAGAAAGTAATTGCAAAGCAATACTTATAATATCCGCAAAGGAGAACAAAAAGAATAACTCATTACTTGTAAAGAAGTCAACAATTTTTTTAAAAGAGAAAGAAGAGTAAGTATTCCACTGCACTAAATAAGAATTGGCAGGTCAATCCATCACAAAATTATGCATAATTAATTTTTTCACATGATCATTTGCTAATTTATTGTTAGTTCATGATCACTTAATGTGAAATGCTCAGTTGAAACTTGAAAACATTTTTCTTATAGCGCTAGGCATGACACATGCACAAATTTGTACAACTGCTTTCATTTGATAGTATGAAAGGCAGCCCAATAGAAATGCATCATGGCTTAGAATCCTAACCAAGGAACATATGGATGGAGTGACTCAATTTGGTGCAAATGCCAAGGAACCTATGCATTTGGCAAGCTCCTACTTTAATCTTAGGTTGAGTAAAATGATTCAATTAAAATACAACTAAACAAAAAAATGTGGATATAAAATCAATGCCGGTCTTCATAAGCACTTCAAAGCAGCTAATACAACTGATTTGTTTCCTTCCCACTCACTCCTTTCCACCTTGAATTGGCCAATTTACAATCACATCATGAACCCAACTTCTGCATAATCAACAAGCACATCCACTCAAGTTCCTCATTGCTCTAGTATTAGACCCATATACTAAGTTCATATATAACGGGAGAGACAAGACAGAAGAAAAAAATAAACGCAAAAGGTCCTTCTAGAAAAGGTATCGAACAAAAAATTTCATTTCCTATATAAAAATACAAATACATTCATAATCTCTAACATATCTTAACTTGACGAAATCAACATTTAATATCACCTACTAGTTCTTCTATATACTTCAATTTGAACAAAAAACCTTCGTAACCCAAGTAACAATTTAGCTGCAGTATTATCTCCGAAACTTATCCAGTGACTAATTACAACAAATTAATAACTCAGTAACTGATTAAAGCATGAAATTAAGCAGATCTCTAGTTCTCTACACACTCTTCCCACACTAAACTAAAGAAACCTACTAATAATCTAACAACAACAACAAAAATAAAAAATAAAAACAAAATCACCGAAAAAAATTCAAATAAAACAAAATTAGGGAAACACTCACGGGAGTCTTAATGACGATGGCCTCGGGCTCCTGGTCGAGGTTTCGGCGGTGGTCGGGAGCGAAGCGATGGTAATCTCCGGCAGCCACGAACGGCGGTTTCATGGAGGAGAACGGAAGTTGGCGTTTCATGGACTGCATGATCTTCTCCGGCGGGTTCGAGGAGGCGGCGGCGGCGGCAGGAGGAGCTCGCGAGCCCGACATCCACCGGGCGGCGATCAAAGTCGGAGGAGGATCGAAAGGGTTTCCGCGTTCGGAATTGAAGAAATCGGAAGAGAAATGGGAGGGAAAGGAGTGAGATCTGAGCGTTTGGCAACTCAGAAAATAAAAAAGCGGGAGAGAGAAAGAGAGCAGAAAACGAGGGAAAGAGAGAGAGAGAGAGAGAGAAGAAGAAGGAGGGAATTTGGTTCGGATATAGATGTGGAGGGAAGCACTTACAATAATTCCCAAATAAATAAATAAATAAATCTTCTTTACTCTCTCATTAAAACACATTCCATTTATTATTATTTTTTAAATTAAAAAAAGTAATAAATTTAATCTTTTTCCTTAAACCGCTTCTAGTCGGTTAGGGTTCGGCGCGAATCACATGTGCAACAGTCTTCAAATCTTGCTTCCCCCACTTCCCAACTTAACCACCACGTCCTCTATCTAATTAAACAAAGACATGTTCATTGCCGAATTTTAATGAATTGAGATTTCATAAACTTCTAACGAAGATATTCACATTCAACTAATTCAAAAAAAAAAAAAAAAAGAGGGTTCGAAATGGCAAAACGCGCGCCTTGCACTAAGATGAGGGTTGGTTTCCGTTGACGTGAATCATTAAGAAATGATTTCTTTTATCTTTTTCTTTTTGGGTCATTAAAACAATACAAATTGTCGTAACGTGTTTGTTCTGACTTCTGGCCACGCAAACGCAAAACTCACCACCACGATACTGCTGATGCTTACCATTTCCCTATCGGGCTGGGCTTTTCCTCCTTGTCAATTTTAGGGGTTGGTTTTTGCTCTCTTTTTTCACAATTTATTATTTTTTAAAAATATCTTTATTAATAATTTAATTTAATTTTTTTCTTCTTGAATTTTCTATAAATGATAATAAAAAAAAGAGAAAAAAACTAAGAGAGTAATCAAGAGTTCCCCACTCCACCTTATGACATTTGTACATATTGACTTTTATGGTCCTAGTAACAAAAAAGTTGCGGGGACCTGAAGGAGAAGGCACGGGGAAATAAAAAAATTGAAGTACAAAAGCTGTGAAATTTTGCTGAGCGAGCAACAATTCATTGAGTCTCTATCAAACTTTCATTTTCACGTGTCATTTAGCAATGATGAAATCAAATAACTTCAACATTATAGTAATAGTAATTTAGTACAAGTACTTGTATAACTTGAAAAAATTTGCAACACCCAAAACTTCTCTTTCCTATGAAGTAGAAAAAACATAAAACAAATCCACGTAATTTTGAGAATTTGTCAAGATGCTTGCGTAAGCCAAAATGAAAAAGGCGAAAAAGCAACACAAGTTGACCTTATCACAACGCACAGTATTGCTGATGTTAAAAAGAGTAACTAAACAACATCACATACAAAAAAGCACCTCCTATTAAGTTGTACCCTATAAATAGTCATTAGTAACAGGAGATCAAACACAAAACATCAATGCTACTTGGTACAAAATCAACATCTTCCATTTTTTCAACATTTAATTTAGCCAAAATAAATAAAAACATTTAATAACTTCAAGATAAAAAAGGATAGTCTTGGGCCAAAACACTATCAAGCTTCTATTTGCTCCACTCCAAATATGCAATTTCTTACCAACGATTTTGATCTTTCACTTGGTAAGACTTTGCACCATTCCATTGAGGTCGCAATGAGCTGTTTGTGGAAGCACTCTTCCATGAATTAACTCTACTGGAGCCATTTTGAAGCCTGATCTCAGATTGTGAACCTTGATGATAAGGAGGATTTGTTGACTGATTTGTGTAACCATTATTATATGGCTGAAATTGAGATCTGTCACCAGGCCTTGGCAAATGATTAGACTCTGATATTCTGAGTTGTCTAAAGTTGTCCACAAAGTGTTGTGATCTTATGTCTCTAGTAGTAGTGACATGATAAGATCCTGCATCCTTATGTTGTTTATGAAAAGGAGACAATGATGGCATTCTTTGACTGGACATTGCATCAATTCCTCTCACGTTGGAACTATTGCATGCTTTGCCTCTACCTACACTCCATCCAACACCAGTAGCACCTTTGTGCATGACTTCAGGAGGCATATTAGATGAAAAGTTTCTTGTATGATGAGTAGTTGCATTTGGAGAAAACTTTGAAGTGCTTCTCTCTGTGTGTTCACTCCTCCATCTGACTTGATTCTGCACCCTGAATTTTCAAGTTTGCAAATTACACAGAAGATTGTACCCACATCCAATACTACACATAAAGCAAAAAAATAAAAATAGTACCTCTCAAAACGACTATGGTTCTGCCGCTCATGCCAGAGTTCTGTTTCCATAATGTCACCCCCAAAGATTGTCTACAAAAAATTTACAATGTTTTTCAAGGAGATCAAGTGCAACTTTGGTATCAATTAGTCTTGTCTATTTCATAGCAAAAACTTAACTATGCTGTAGACAATTAACAAAGTTATCTTGAATCAGAAAATTTAAGAAACTGGGATTTACCTTCTCTGGAAGATTTACACCAGATAATAAACGAGGAATATGATTACCAGCAGGCACTTCATAATAGACATATCTGCAACATAAACAATTATAAAATGACAGGAAAATCTCATAAGTTGAATGCTAACTAAGAAACTAAAAGGTATATTTTCAATAGCATACAGGACACAATTTGTTTTTTCGTTGTCACAAATCTCCATCCCCAAGCAAGGCTTGTCAACACCTTCATGGCAAAGACTTATGATACCCCCAATGCCATCACTGCAAAAAGTACAAGAATAAGAAAACATAACAATGAACTATGCGTTATTCCTAACACTAAAACAGTATTTACAGATGACATACTATCTTCAAAGAAGGAATATGCAAAAAAAACATGATAAAAGTATCCTTGACTAACCATATTCTCATGTTCAACTTGTAAGATGAATTTTCCCCGAGACAAAGGGAACATATTTTCTCCACTAATTTGTTAGACCTTCTAACAAACAAGCAATCAAGTTTGACTGAATTTCTTATGGCTTCATTTGCCTATAAAACACAATTGGAGATTTAGAAGGCATTCAACAAAATACATAGATGATTGAATTATTCAAAATATTTGTTTGGTGTTATGTGGTATTAATAAGTGAGTAGATCTTACAGATAATTGATTTTTGAGATCTACGGTTTCAGCCAAAAGCCGGCTTTCTTCTATCCATGGAAGTTTGCAGATACCCTTCATTAAAGAAACATTTGTTTCCATCATTTCATATGTACTGATTGAATAACAAAGACTAAACAAATTATTTACAAGGACTTAAGTGAGATAACCTGCCACAAGAATCGCTTAGCTTCTAGGTCAACTTCAAAATCTACAAAACCAAAAAATTTATAGAACTAGAATATGAATTCAATAGAACCACACATTCAAAAAAATAAAATAAGAAAACTTCAAATCAAATTAACCAGCTTACCCTGAGGATAAAAGTCTAATATTCTTGAATGTTCATCCAGCATTAATTGTGCATAGGCTTTTGGAAGTGCATGAGCACTGGACATCAATAAAATCAGTTAATTTTACCATTGTAACAGAATTCTTTAATACCAAATACAAAGTTTATGGTAACAAAAAAGTTGGAAAATAGAATAACTAGAGTTACCTTTGAGGGGGCAGCACACTTAAAAGTTGATCAAGTGGTAAGAATGGGACACCTTTTTCAAATTTTACCCTCACCTGACCCATTCCCTTCAAGTCCGAAGCAAATGGACCATAGTGGAATGGATAAAACCTGTTTATTGCAATTTATCATTTTCAATCCATATAATGCATGCCAGGAATTCAAGCTAGATATCCAACCATATTGGCTTACCATGTCCACGAAGCAACATCAGAAAAATAGTATTGAAGAACCCACAACAATCCTTCTGTGTACTTTTGGACCTACAATTAAATGAAAATCTATCACCACCACCATTGAATGTTGTCTAACAAAAGGCACAACCAGCCATACTAAATAGAAGATTTAGCAGCAGTTGCAAAAGTTGTGAAGAACCATACTATTTCTTTCCTTTTGCACTCAATGTCAGTAGGGCCCTCTACAAAAAACCTCACTTTATAATACCTTTCTTTGTAGCTAGCTGCTCCCAGTTTTATCTGAAATGAATGATAACAACACTTGCTAATCATCTAGCAAATTTTAAAAAAGTGTGCTTCATATCCATTTATCATATAATTAAATAAAATAAAATAAAAAATAACATAGTAAAAATAAGCCCTTCCAGGCAATTGCATACCTTGTCAATGAGGTACTCCCCACTCTTAAACAAGTTACATTTTTCTCTCATACATTTCCTTAATTCATCTCTTAAATCCTTTGTGTTCTGAAAAATCTGATAATAAAGAGGAAAAGCATTATCAACAATTCAACATCATTAAATCCCTTCTTTCATGATGGTGTTTCCATCAATAAAAGATGTCAAAAATTATATATAATTAAACTCCTGATTGATAAAGAATCAACTTACTTCAGCAGATGTAGCTGGAACAGAAACCTCTTTGGAAGCTGGGGCCTTACAAATTAGAAGAGCACAATCAGAAGTACTTTCATTGTCAAGAACAGAGTGACATGTTACATTCTTTTCTTCCTGCTTCTGGATGGAAATTATGTAATTATGTTAGGCCAAGATTACAGTAAAATATAAAATCAAATGTTCATTTTCTTAATATAGTTCAACTTACGGCATCCTCATAATCATTAATAAGCCTTCTCAACTGCCGGTCCCTAATGTCGGATCTTTTCTTAAATATTTTCTCTTCGTAGGTGCCAACCTTAAGTATAAATTTTTCAACTCTTGATAACTTAATAAAAGCAGCATTTTTCTCACCAATCTGCATTAAATTTCATATCATAGGCACAGTGGAAATTCACATGAAATAAATTTCAAATTAATTGTACATAAGGGAGAAAAAAAGATGTAAACAAACAAAAGAAGAAATGAGACAGTAAGAGGGTTACCCGGCTCATATCGACAAGATATCCTCCAAGATTATTGAATTCTTTCTTGTAAACAGTCATCAGTAAATCAATAGCCCCCTGACATAATTGAGCAAAACAAATAAGGATAAGTGACCACTTATTTATAATTATAAATATATTCATCACATCTAACAAAAAAGTCACTGATAACCTCGTGAATTTCCAAAGTTGGCATGTGGGGTAGAAAATCATTTCCAGCAAAAAAGCACATGAAGATGAAATCATCAATGATCCGATCCAATTCAAAGCTGAAATTTTTGGGAGGATCTTCTACCTTCATGTCTATCTCAAGATATTCCCTCAACAACCAAATATGCAAAAACTGCGTACAGTTAATATCGTGAGATTCATGGTACAACCGCATAGTTGTAGACTTGTAGTTGTGGAATGTAAGTTGGTTAATATTTCTTATACCTTGAAAGGCTTAGCAACAATTTTTTGCTGCTGCAGCTGCTGAATAGGTACATCCTGCACATGCACAGAAAGTGATGAGTTATATTTGTATACAATAGTAAAATACATTTCAAAAAGCAGTGTTAAAATCATTTCATTTCATGTTTTAGTGTATTTGAGTTTTCACATTAAGGTATACAAGATTATATGTTGGAACAGATAAAATTCTAATATATTAATAATCTTGTCAAAATTACCTCTCTTAATACTGAAAAATGGGGCTCATGAGTTGCCATTGCAAGCATTATTAGATCAGCATCCTGCATTTGTAATTAATTCAAAGGCTTCAGCTTAAATATATTGAACATCAAAAGAAACAAATACTCTGTCAAAACTTTTTTAACTGCAATTTGCACACCGAGCCATATAAGCAGTGGCTGGTGTTCGGATTGTACTCATCTAGTGTACGCTGTTTTCGTATAAATGACATAATCTTATGTTCACCTTCTCCAGGAACATTAGCATCAGAGATAATTACCTAAGTTCAATTTAACAAAGTAAAGAAAAAATGATTTAGCTTGATAAAGAAGAAAATAACAATGATTTGCAATATTAAGAATGAAGTGAATGAAGCATTCTTAGCTTGACATAGCCCATCAGGCATTGTGATGTGAATTATGCATATCATACCATAACATAGTTCCATAATGAATCACCGCTTATTCTTGAAGAGATATAGCTTTTAAGGGCCTTTGAGAGTTCATGCATGAACTCTGTGCCTGGTGTTATGACATTAGAATCTGACACTTCAGATTCTTGCTTAGGAAGAACTTGTTTGCCTTCCATTTCAAATTGCTTTCGCAATCTTTCTTCCTCAGCTTCCTATAGATACAAAATGAAAATAAATTTAAAAGAATACATGGAAAGATTAAACAAAACATAAATATACCATTTTCTATGCTATTAATGAATGAAGAAAGAAGATTAAAGAAAAGGATGAATAACTCACACGAATTTTATTGTCCTTAGAAGTTTGAAAACGTCTTGATCTTTGTTGGTTCATTTTGGCACGTGGGGCAACTCCATCTATGTATGAGAAACACACAGACCCACCGTAGTTCAATGATTCATAAAAAGACACAGAAGTAAATATACTAAAGCACTAACTTGCTTTGCATTGCATTGTTAGGGAAATTTCTTCAATTACTTACTAGCAAAGCTTTAAGGGCACTCATTAAAATATCAAAAAATAAAATTTTATTTAAAATGCTATTGAAATTTAAGACACAAGTACTATGATTTTTCATGCATTTTTCACATAGTTCTTAATATAAATATATAATAAAATATTTTTTTTATTCTTCAAGCCCATTAGCAAAAACCCGAAAGCAAGTACCAAGTTGGCTGTATGAATAATGATAGTTAATGAAAGTTCCTTGTCTCACCAATAGCCATATAGATCAGCTTGTGAGGCCTAACAGCGTCAACAAGGCGATCTATGTAGTCAAACACATTCCTAAACACATCTTCAAACGTTGTTGGCAACGGAATCTGAATGATATTACACGCTTAGAATCAAAGCAACTAAAGCTGACACGTATATATCAAGTTAAAGAAAAGCAGCAAAAGAATAAAAGAAAACAAGAGAGACTAACGAACGTTGTGATGATCATCAGGGTGAAAACAAGGGTGGATGATGGAATTCATGTCAATATACAAGTTATCAAATTTGAAGCCATTTGGATTCTGCGTGGTGGGGTCAACGTCTTCCACCACCTTAGGATATTTGTTAACCAACCATCGATAAAACGAAGGCACACCCATTGTTGCTATCTGTGTTTCTCAGCTTCTGATGATTCAGATTCTTCTTCCTGACAGAGCTTAACTACATAGTATAGAGAAAAGGGAAGATGTTTAGTTTACGACTGGTCCTGAAAATAGCATGAAAACCATAACATAAATATATTACTTTCATCGGAAAAGAAATATAATAATATATACCTGAGTTGCAGTGAGAAAACGAAGAAACGATTGAAGTGGAACTGAAAAGCAATCACTGGTCGAAGGATTCAAAGAAAACGCATTTGCTGAATGAGAATTTTTTTTTTTATGTAATTGAAGTGAGATGAGTAAAGCACTGAAGAATCACTGGTCGAAGGATTCAAAGAAAACGCATTTGCTGAATGAGAATATTTTTTTTATGTAATTAAAGTGAGATGAGTAAAGCACTGAAGTTAACTTATTTGGTGAAAGAAAATATATTTTTATGACATTTGACCAATGGGGGACAGGATACATTGAAAGGCTTATATTAAACTTAACTGTTAAGATTATTTGATTTTGGTATAAGTTTTTAAGAGAATTTTATAATTATTTTAATATTTTATGAAAAATTATATTTAATATTTAAAATATAAAATATTTTTTATTTTTTATTTTTTATTTTACAATTAAAAAAACTATTAAACATATCATAAGAAAATCTAAATAATTATAAAAATATAATAAATAAATATACATTTTAAAATAAAAGCTTAAAATGAATAGTTTCTTAAATTCAAGTGTTAATATTTTAAAAAAAAATGTATAAACTGTTATCGCTAAACATTTCCATAGCAAAATTAACAAACCCCTTTGATCATGTGTATTGCTAATTCTTTAGAAGTTTAGAAGTCAACCACTGCGAAGACTTTGAAGATTTAAGAAATAACAGAGAAAATCGAAGCGTTGTCATCATTATGTTGCAGTTTAAGAAAATCAATTAAGCTGTGCCAGTATCTACCTAGCTGTCCAGAGTTTTACTCATAGCTACCCAAAATAAATTGTAATTTGAAATTTTATTTTACTTTGATTAAAATATAAAAAAAGTAAGAGAAAATATTTTTAAAACATTTTTCTCTAAGTTTACTTTATTTTATATATTAATAAAACAGGTGTATTGCTAATTCTTTGGATCATGTGATGATTGCGGTATGCGTGTTTTTGTTGATGTAATCTTATCAATCTCGTACACTTTTTCCTGCCAGAACATGATGTAAAATAGCGGCGTCTGATAGAAGAGTGAAATAAGTGCACTGCGATATTTACTTTTTTTTATTTTAAAAATATTTTCTCTTACTTTTTTTAATATTTTATCAAAGTAAAATAAAATTTCAAATTACAATTTATTTTGGGAAGCTATGAGTAAAACTCTGGACAGCTAGGTAGATATTCCGCACTTTAATTGATATTCTTAAACTGTGTCATAATGATGACGACGCTTTGATTTTCGATGTTCTTTTAAATCTTCAAAGTCTTCGCAGTGCTTCACTTTTAAACTTCTCCGTAAGGGTTTTGTTTTGCTATGGAAATGTTTAGCAATAACATTTCATACATTTTTTAAAAATTATTAACATTTGAATTTAAGAAACTATTCATTTTAAGCTTTTATTTTTATAATTTTAATGTATAATTAAATTTAGTAGTGAACATAATTGTTTTTTAAATAATAATCTAGATTTTTTTATTATATGTTTACTAGTTTTTTTAATTGTAAAATAAAAAATAAAATATCTTTTATCTTCACAAAGTATTAAAACAAAAATATCCGGTTTAATAATCAGTATCTGAAAGTAAGACGGTTCTCGAGCGCAACTCCTAACTTCCACCGCCTCAATTAATATCGCTTGTGAAGTGATGAGACTCATTTTTTAAGAAAAGAAATATCATCATAAAAATACGAAACTTATTAAATTGTAACAAGTGTTAAAATCTGATAAATTTCACATTTTCATAAAGATATTTATTTTTTATATAAAAAAATTAAATTTTTCCACGATAACAATGAAACTTGTGCACGTAGTTAAAGAAATTTTAGACAAAAAAATATTTATATTTTAATAATTTTATTTTAAATTAACAAAAAACAAATAAAAAAGCCACATTTTTCTCTGAAGTTTATTTTATTTTATTTAGTGTTTTTTTTTATTTCTTTTATTTTTCTTTGTAAACTAATCTATGGCCCCATCAGTGGGGCCAGGCCTATACGTGCACTTTCCGTAAACTTCATTATTGGGTGTTAGTTGTTTTCGGCCATTTTTCTTGGGCCTCGCTTTTCTACTCGATTTACTATTTTAAAAAACAGAATAAGAGATGAAATAAAATTTTAAAAAAGGAGAACTATAATACAAAATTTACTATTTGAATAATAAAATTAAAATAAACAAATAAATAAACACTCCTACTTATTTAAACAAGTGAAAAGAAACAAATTAATTATATATTTTTTATAATAATGTAAAAAATTAGTTTAATAAAAAGCAAATATTTTAATATAACATTAACATATTTTTATTAACAGTCATTCTTTTTTTACTTTCAATATTATTTAACATTAAAATTAAATTAAAAAAAATGAAGCCCCTCTTTCCACCCACTTTAATTTAATAGCCCAGAAAGGGGTAACAACAAAAATGTGGAATCTATTCCTTCGTATGTATGTATGTATGTTTGCTTGTTTGTTTTCTTTCAAAATTATGAAAATAAAACTTTACTGTTAATTGCTAACAACAAAACGAGACAATGTTAACTTCTATCTGGGCCAAGGCCCATGCTTTCAAGAAATTTAGCAGAATTAGGATATGTAACAGATATTGACAAAAAAAAAGAAGAAGCATATATAACAGATAAAGAACTGAGGGTGGTGATGAACATAAATAGGCCAATATCATGAAGTTACCGTCCAACAATTCCCTATTATACCATATCCAACCCAGAAAGTTATATTGATACATGCCTTATTGACCAAAGGGTTATCTGAAAAATAAGAATGATAGGGGTCATTCCTGTGTAGTTGTGGTTGTATTCAGCAGGAAGACGGTAAGGCTGAACAGAGGGGTGAGTGAATAATAAAAAGCTGATGCATATGGAAACTTCACTCAGCTAATGTTGTGTTGCAGTTGTACCACATTGCTTCCTTCTATCATCAAGTTCACTGTCTGGCTGAGATATTCACGAAAAGCAAACCAAACCAATGAAATCCACAAAACTCTATAAACACTTTTCTTAACGCATGGTTTGTTTTAATTTAATTTATTCCAAATAGAAGTTTTGTGTGATTCAATTTATGAGAGAACAATTTTTCTTACTTAATATACGTACAAAGTGTTACATTGTATGAAAATGGATTCTAACGACATTAACTAACTAACAACTCTGTTACAATAGAGTGGATTTTTCATTAGATCACGTACGTGCATGATCCACCAGAAGGTCCCAACATTATTATATACATAAAATATATACTTAATTACATTCTCATCATTTTGTTGTACTTCGTTAGTGTAGTTTTACTGTTTTAAAGCCTAAACTGAATTAATTTTTAGCTTAACCTAGATTTTGTCCCCATTTGAGTTGGCATATATACTTGCACATTCATACATATATCACATTTTAATTCGTTTATAGCCAGATCATCACCTACTTAAGGAGGTGTAATCACTAGTCTTGGAGGGCCCTTTCCAATGGTGGCCAATTTAAAGTGAAAGAAGAGAAAGAGAAAGGAGAAGAGTCAAAGAAGATTTTCGACCTTATTATTGATTGATCTCTATAAAATGCCTATCCAATTGTTAGGCTTATGGAATAACTTCTAACTGTCACGCCTTAAAGTACATATGCATAATATATGCTATTTGCGAATGTTTAATTACTGGTGACAAGACTTGAATCGGACTTAACGGAGCATGAAAGCAAAAAAAAAAAGATGAAACAAATGATTATACTTGAATTTATAATATTAATATTTTTCTTTTATATCTCATTATTTATTATTATTATTATGTATTTCTACATCTTTCTAAGTTTAAACACTTACAGAGATATCTACCAAACATTTTTCATTCTCATAATATATATATATATATATATATATATATCATAAATGGAAGTAAGAATAATATCACTTGTGTGAACAAATATCACCCATATTTATTAAGATTTAAGAATGAAGAATAATTAAAAGCTTCTACCTCCCTCCACCTTGGCAACAAAGACCCACCAAGACCATGAAGTTGGTGGAACGAGTTAATCCATCTTTCCTTTTAGAATCTGCCGAAGCTTACTTTTCATAAAGTTGCAGGTAAAAGAAACCACCATGAATATTTTTCTCTTTACTCCATCTCATGTGCATTTAATCATGTCTATTTTAACGAAATGACTTAAAAGTCTTTCAACAATGACCTCTGCCATTATTTCCTTATGCCATCTGGTCCCAAAATATAAGGTTCCATCTACACAAAGATTAAAAAAACAGGACGATCTTAGATGAGGAAATATTTATTTTTTAATGTTGGCTTGACCTTGATCGTAAGGTATTTTTTAATTATAAGACATACAAAATATAAGTACAATTTGTAAATATTTTAATTTTAATAAAAAAAATATCGCTAAAAATATTTTAAAAATTTCACTTAATTAAGTTTTTTCTTTTTATATATTAAGATTTAAACTCCAACATTTCATCTGAAAATTTTCCTGGATCGCATATTTTGATTTTCTATCTCCATTTAAAATCTGTTTGATAATCAAGTTCTACGTTAATGAATTAATAATAGATTAAAAAAATTATATAAACAATAGGATAATGAATAATGACAACAATATGTGTATGCATTACTTTATACTTTGATTCAAGATATGTGGTTTTACAGATCGAGCTTTCTCTATTCACAGTATACGAGAGAATAGAAGGATGTGAGCGATAACAAGACAATCACTATAATAAATTATATATATATTAAAAACAGTAAAAAATTGTTGTCTCGTTAAAATTAAATACCAGGTTATGGAATGTGATCATTGTTGATGTGTGTTGCGTAAACAGAGGACATGATCCTAAAGCTATGGGAGCATTGATGAAACCAATTAACAAAACTACAATTAAATATGTCAAGAATTTGGGAGTACTCCCTTTGTTTTATTTTCAACGAATTTCCTATCGTGAATTCGTGATACTTACACATGATTAGTCTCAAGATTTCTTTTGTTAATAGAAAACTTGGGTTAGTCTGAGAAACATAAAAGTCTTAGCAGTAAAAAGGATCCAATGTGTGCTCCTTAAGAACAAGAGAACAACCTTGGTCAACTACATAGACGATCTATACCAAATTTCCATGGAATCCAAGTCAATCGATCTTTTTACCAATTACGATATATTTTATATACAATTGGAAGATATGCGTGTCGATTGATTAATTCAGATAACAAACGTAATTAACTTTTAAATGTTAGGTAAATTTTTAGGTCGCAATTTGTCATAGAAACACTGAAAAGAGAAAAACACAGATACATATATATCGGATCTATAAAAGTAAATAAAAAATTAAACAAATCCTCGACACTAAACAAGGTCGAAACACTCAATGCATGTTTAATATTGCAAAAACTATATATATATATATATATATATAGTCATTATATGTGTGTGTGTTTTTTTAATACTCTGTTCTAAATAATTGGTAAGATAAATTATTTTACCAAAATACATTTAACCAAATAATCATTTAATGCATTATAACAATAACAAAAAAGCACATTTACATTAATATATCAACCAAAGTTTTCGCATTGATTCATCCACGTACCCAACGTTCCCTATCATTTTCAGATTATTTATTATATTTCCATCTCCCACGAAAAGTCACATCCGTACAAGAAAACAATATATACACCATTTCCAATAAAATTACAGAAGTCAGTCCATGACAATATAAACAAGAAAAATCATGCAGATTAATGTATAAAAATTATTAACCATCAATCCTTAAATTAAGTCAAATTAATTATTATTAATAAATTTTATTAAATAATATTTATTATAGGTTTATATCTTTATTATAATACATACATTTTTAATTAAAAAAATTGGTCTTTTGAAGTACTTAAAGTTAGATCTAAAGAGTTAATAAACCTTTAATAAATTATTCCATATAAAGCTTAAGGAGACTTTCTCCAATTAATACTCCTTGTTAAAAAAATTAAATACAATACTGACAACAAAAGAGAAGAGAAAAAAAAGAGAGATAAAACAATTGTGATATGAAGAAGCATGGAACTAGCAAAAGCTAATTAACAATTTATACCAACCAAAAAAAAATTACTTTTGCTGCCTAAACATCAACACTGCAACTTTGCAAGAGCTGAAACTTCACCGCCGGAGCGACAACTCCGATAGCATTATCCCGATCTCCGGCGAACCTAATATACACAGGACAGTTAACATAAATATGGTACCTGCCGGAGATCCAAGTCCCAACTTTCCACTTAACCCTTCCGTTAACCTTGACGTTGACCAAAGCGGCGCCGGCACTTTGGTCCTGCTGTAAAGAACCCAACACAAACGGCGAAACGGGAACGGCGTTACCGTAGAGAAACGGCGACCAAACGGTGAAGTCCTTGTGGCCTTGATAGGCATCGGGAATGGCGGTGGCGAGAGAGATTTGTTGGCTACGGTAAGAGGCGTAGAGGTTAAGGTTGTGATAGTATATTCCGATGCGGTCGTTAGGGTTATGAGCGGAGAGTGTGATTTGCATGGTGAGTGTGAGTGTGTTGAAAGAAAGAGAAGGTTCGGTTGTGGAAGAGAGGTTGAAGGTGTAGATGGTGGCGTCTTGGACCACGAAGTGAGGTTTTGAGGGTCTTAGGATGATCCATATTAGGAAGATTATTAGGAGGATAAGTACGATGAAGGCGATGATGCCGGCGAGTACGTGGCGGAGGAGGTGGCGGCGCTCGTGTTCGTGATGGCCGCAGTCCTTGGTAGACATGGTGATTGTATATATATATGGTTGAATGAATGAGTGAAGGAATGGATTGGGTGGTGAAGTGCGTGTAGATATGCAAAGGTTAATGAAATGATAATGTTAATATGTGTGTGTTGCTTGTGTTGCACACTGTCTACTCACTTAGAGAATGTTTCTAGTGGAAAGTTTGCTTTTATTATATATAGGCAAAATTCAATGAAAAGAAAGAAAGTGGTACTTTTTTTAATTAAATTACAAGAAATTTGATTTTTATAAAATAATAATTTGAGTTTGACTGTGCGAGTTAAAAAAATCATATGCTGAGATCAACGAGTTAGTTAAGTGGGTCATGTGGGATAACTTAGATCTTCTTTTGCATTCGTATGATTTAGTTGTATATAAAATCAATTGTTACGTGCATGTAATTCATTTCTTAATACATTTTTTTGTAATTAATCAATTTTTATAAAAGTTGAAATAATTTTTAAAATATAATCAATTTACAAAGTGTTTTGACTATTTAAATGATTGACTAATTGTGAAAAATGTGTTAAGAGTGTGTTTAAAGAAATGTGTTGTTATCCTTTTTCATATTTATATATATTTTTTACTTTGATAAATTTTAATCAGTTAAACTATAAATTATAATGACGCACATTTTGCTGTAAGGAGCGTGTGGGGAATTTGAGAAGATAAGATTCATTTCATATATAAGGTACTTTTTGTATTTAAATTGTATTAGTGTAAATAAAATTCAATTAATGTAATGCCGATAATAAGTTAATTACAATCCGGTTGGCATTGCTTAATGACTCTGGGTGGGCTAAAACACTAACCTTATCTTTGAAGGTAATGTTTAACTAACTGTTCTATAAAGCTGAGGAAAGTGGAGGGACCCTAAAATAATAACTCGAAAGTGTTGTGTAGGAAAAGCCAATTATGATATATTGTGTGGTTAGCTCAATCATTTGGGACTTTCCTCAAGAACCATGTACTTGCTAGAGTGAAATTTTATGGCAAAGGTTTATTCACACATTAAAAAAGGAATAAAATCCTAATTTGGTTCTTTTTTATGAAATACATTGTTTATATTCTTACACTTCATGTTTGATCTAATTCGTTTAGTTTATGTTTCTAATTTAATAAATTTCCATAATAGGAGTGTGAATTGGGTTAAATTAAATATGATCCTATATGCTTTCTAAGGCATAATAAATTAATTGCAAGAACAATTTTTAATATAGATATTGGCCATGTTAGAAGCCTCAGATTGGCAAACTGCGATGGAACATTGGAAGTGTGTTGTGAAGTTGAATTAATTAAAAGGAAGGAGTTGACAGGCATTTACTGTTCTAGCATTTATGAGTAAATAATCAGTGAGTCCTTGTCTGTGCCATATGATTTAAGCCAGTAGATGGTTTCATTAATTATTATGCTATATGTAGATGATGGCTTGTTCGAGTACTCTTACTTAGAGATTTCGATAAATGTGAGGATGGAAAAATTACTGGCTAGTTAAACATTATTGAGTTTTGATTTTATTTATAAAAATTAAAATTTTAATTTATTAAAATTTAAAAAATAGGTATATGTTATAAATTTATTTTTTATTTTAAAAATATTTATAGTATTAATTTATTTTTATATATTAACATAAATCTTATAATAAATAAAAGTATAAAAAAATTATTATTAATATATTTAAAAATAAATATTTATTTAACAATACATGTTAGTTCAAGTAATAAACTGTGAAATATCGCTTAGATAAAATTTTAGATTTAAGTCTTTATGCATTAAAAAAATTTTAGTAACATACTCATCGTGTATCTAGTTACCCACATGAGTCAAATTTAAATTGAATTGAATAAAAATAAGTAAATCTTTATTTTTTATGTTTTGAAAAAAATAATAGTTATTTTTACAAATAAAATAGAGATAATATTTATGATCCTACTTACTGTTATATAATATGTGTCTATTTTAAAAAAAAATAAAAATAAGTTAAATTAATAAATTCATTCTATAACTTTTAATTTTATATAATTTTACTCTCATAAAAAATATTTTATATAATTTATTGCTTGTTATTTTCTTTTATTTTGTCTTATTCTTTATATAATGTTAAACATAGTCATAATATATGTTTTTCATGTCACAGGCAAATGTAGTGCGGTTTATAAAGGAATTAAAAGAAAATTAATTCATGAACAATTTTTATTAGCTAAGAAATTATACGAAACATGATGTCTCTGCTTTGGGAATAGAAAGTTAAGATTTGACTTAACAGTTAACACCACATGGAAGCCTAAGAAACAGTCCCCAGCGAGACAGAGGGGGCATCATAGTCATTGAGATTACAAGTATATAGGGAGATTCATCTCAGAAAAATGTTGATAAAATTTTCAAGGATCTTCCTCACTAGTTTTTGAAAGATATTGATTAAAAAATTTAATAAATAATAATCTCTATTAAAAAATATTTTAAAATATAAATATTTTAAAAAAATTCGTATTGTGGATAATAATTTTATTCAACTCAAATAAAATTGTATTTAATAAAAAATATCATAGAATAAAAAAAAAAACTATAATATTTTCAAATTCCAATCATGTATGGATGCCCTTCAAGGACCAAATTATCCATTGGGAATTTGGGATCCAGACATTTACAATTATTTCTTCCACATTTCATTCTTTATTTATTTAATTCCCTGAATGGATTTTAAGGCCACTTGGGTCAATAATTAACAAGAAGCGTTACTTTGTTTAAAAGGGAAAATCAGCAGATAGCCCAGTGATTTAGTGTCTTCGTAATGAAATGAGATACATGTTTGAGTTATCTTAATGCCAAATTCACATGATTATAGTTGAACTTGCCCCTCAATCATATACTTTTCTGTCGCTGTGTCATTGGGAAGAAAATGACTAAGGTTATATAAGGCAAAGTCAAAATCATTATATCAGCCAATGTTTGTCAAAATATTTGAAGGAATTGCTGTATCACACATTTTGTATTATTAATTATAATTTAACAATTCTTATATTTCTGATGTTACCTTCGAAAGGAAACCCAAAATTGGAAGATATTTACGCACCAAGGGACAAGTGCATAGCCTTCATGGGGACGGGTTTTTCCAAAATCTAAATGATGAACGAAACCCAATACTGTTGTTTTGCTTAGCTGAATATCGAATGTATCAATCCAAAATGCCAAGTAATTACATTGATTTATTGTAATGTGATTTTATATATATATTGATTAGTTACTTTTAGGTTAAATTATTTTATCTTTAAATTCATATTTGGATTAATGTGATAAATTATAATTTTTGTATTAAATTAAAAAATTAATTTTTTTAAAAAAATTACGTACAAATAGCATCACTTTGAAATTATTTTTAAACAAAATTAATTTATAAAATTAATTTAATTCAATCTCAAAATTATAAGTGTATTTGACTTCAGGTTTCATCGCCTAGATACTCTATGTTAATGTAATTTTAATGCAAACATAATTCCAATGATGATTTAATTCCCAAATTCTGATCTTGAATTTGCTCCCCGACAAAATTTGATTAGACAGGTGTGCTGAGAAATTGTGGGGACATGATTTGCAAAGATTAATTACATTAGATTCACAGCTTGTTGCTTGTTGTGCAAAAACAATCGTTGGGTCCCAAATTTGACATATCTTACAAGGTAGATATGTGGGCCCTTTCGAATTTTCTCAATCACTATCCTGTGAAGGCTGTGATCACTGCTACAATTGTAAAGAATTTTTGATTTAGAACTAAGGCGACATTTGGTTGTGGGATAGAAATATTGAGACGGATACATAGCATGCATATTATGTTTAGTTAGTGTTTTACTAGAGAAGTAAAGATACAAAAGATAAATAAGACATAAATTTGAAGGATACTAGTATCTCAGCTCTAGAGACACAGAGGATAAATTTATAAAAATAAAAAAAGAAATACTAATATTTTTATTTTTATTGTCTCAGTATTTCTGTTTTTAATGTTCAGGAACGGTAAGTAAACGATGCTTAAGAGTCTCTTTTTTCTGCAAGTGCTTTGTTATATGTGCCCAAGATGAGAGCACTCACCTCACAATTCAAAGTAGACTTCCATGTTTTAACTATAATTTCTTCTGTTTTGATCATTTATTCTTCAGTAACAACTGAATCTTACAATGAAGAAAAGTGACAACACAATTTTCTTGGAACCTACACTTTGTATATCCTATAAAACAAGGAGTCACCGGTTATTCTTCTCTTCAGAAAATGATTCAAAATTAGAGAGAAAGGACAAAATATAAAAGCTAGTGATAGGGGAATAAAGCAATAGTCAGTCACATGGATATCCCTATGTACACTGATGTGAGATTCCAACGTCCAAAAATCGTAAATTGAAGAAGAGGAAAAGCAGATGATAAAAAGGAAGGTAAGGAATCACTTTAAATCCAAAAACATGAGCTCTATAAGACAATTACATTTTTTTACAATATTGGGGCATGAAACCATTGAGAAGGAACCGTAGTTGCACTAGGAGGGAATAGCAGAAAGGGATCAAAGATCAATTCCTTTTGGCCGAAAGAAAAATAATTATTATATCATTGTTGGACCACAAAACACAAGAAAAGAATTGTACATCGTACAAAGAGAGAATAATTGGAGTTTTGGGCCACGCTTAATTTGGACTTGCATGTTAATTAATGATATCCATGCAATACCCAATCCAGTGTTTATGGTTGGGCCAATTTCTTCTGTCAATTATCCTTTTAAAAATATACGGTTGAAAATCAAAGAACTAATACGTGGATATTTCAAAATTAATCAACCAGAAGGTAAGTGTTTGAATAGATGGCAGGAAATGAAATATTATTGAGTAATTAACAGTTAATCAAGTTTAAGAATTGTGAATACATAGTCGTATTCTTATAATTTTATTTAAAAAATTACTGATACATATATTGTATAACTGTTTCTATGTCAAAATTTGATTGATTTATTTTCAAACGTATGAATGTACATTTTTTAAATAATAAAATAATTGTTTTCATAACTTGACTATAATATATTTTTATTTAAACTTAATTAATATTATGAATTTTTACTATTTTTAATAAATGATTAAAGAATAGTAATGAAATAATAATGATACTCAACGAACATGATCACCGGCATATTAAAAAGTTAAATTAATAAAATATAATCAATTTATAAATATAAGTATATTATATTGTATATATATGATTATATTTTATGTCTAAATTTTTTTAAAATTAATCATAGTTACACATCATATCATATTATATTTGATATTCATACTCATATATGTCCAACATATATATAGATCTAATCTATAGGTTGTTGGTGAATCAACTTAGAAAACAAATAATACAAAGTTTTAACTATAGAATGCGTAAATTAACATAATTTTACTGATCCTAGTTTGAAGGCTAATTTAGAGTCACTATTTGATTGCCACACTCTATACAAAGAGTTTTGATATTTGTGCATTTGTTTAATGTTACTTTTTTATTTTTTTAAATAATTTTCTCTTTTTCGCATGTTACATTTATCCATCGTATCTCTTTTCCTCTTTCTCCCTAAATAAATATAATCAGGCCAATGTGTGCCAATCAATTCCCTTCTGCAAAATGAACGTATGCATGGATCACATCCTTCAAGGCCACTGGGTACATTATCATTTGAAATTATTGTACCAGCTCATTCAACATTTCCTCGTAAATGAATCATCACCAAAAGTTAAAGCCAAACTTGATTTGACTCCACAAAGATGATAGAAAATGTAAATTTGATTTCATTTTGTGGTTAGAACGCTTTGTTCACTCGCTAGAATACATATTGGGAATCAAAATATATATATTGACTTGCCAATCAATGAGAGTATGAGGATATACAATGTATTGGAAATCTTTGTCCACATATGAAATACTATTACCGATCTATATGGTCCTTCTCACAATTGGGACTAGCTAGGAAATTATAATATTCTAATGTTCTTGGAACACATCACATAATCCTACGCCCAAGACATTCCAGATGTCATTAGTAACTGCGAGACGCATGTCCGTGACGCCACAACTAACATCTAAACTCATTCGCCATTTTAGCATTTCAAATAGACCCTTAACTTTTGCTCTAACCCACATTTTCACAACGAAGTCTCCACTCACTATGGTCCATAACTTGAGCGAGGAACCATTCTCATCCAAATTCTGTGGATTCCCAATCACCATGCTATTGGAAAATTTTCCCATTCCTAACTCAGCCTTTATCCATATCATGCTCATGCTTCGTATGTTGATGGGAGTAGCCATAGTGGCCACTGAAAGTTGTTTGTCGTGATAGTACACGTAGACTTGGAATGGATCAATGACCAAATGCTCGTTTCTGTTTGTGTTTCTTATGGTAATTGTTAGGATATTGGAGTTGCCTTTGAGTTGCGCTTCGGAGACACTAAAGTTTGATAAAGAGAGTGAATCGACAACAAAATTCGGTTCGTGGGGTCGTAGGATAAACCAAGCCACGCCTATAATAGCACCTAAAATAACAAAAACCGAAGCTACTATGATAATAATTCGATGGATATCATCACTAATTGACTTTTCAGGAGGTGTGATGATGGGTGATGGAAGGTTGTTACCGGTTGCATGGTCCATCTAATAGAACACAAATTGGGTTAATCTACATATGGATGGGGAAGGTGACGATAACACTAATATGAGATAATGAGAGTGCGTATATAGATATATACCAGACGGGAGAAAACATGTCTGATTTGTCGTAAAAAACCATGAGATCATAGTTAAATTTGTTGCATATAAAAAAATTAATGACAGATATATATAATCTTTCCTCGGATATTACGAGGGCCAGCTCAAGCCAGTGAGAGAAACTTGTCTGTCGGATCGATTGAGGAAATTGACAGTATAATAAATAAACCTACAAGGAGGATTTTTAAAGGTTTAGAATCATTATTTGATGTGAGTTCTCAAAATCTATGTGCGTGTTTGGATTGGCATTTGCATTGCTTGAACTCACGTTTAGCTCGACACAAGTGCAAGTTAAAAGTTTATAAATATAGATATAACACAGAAACTATAATTAACAGTGTTAAAATAAATATCAATTCATCTATATCTTAACGTAAAAATGAACATGCTATATGTGTTGTAGCTCTATATATACACATTTGATGCATGTCCAACTCTAATCCAAAGATACTGTATCTCTTTAATAGAAGAACCAGAATGATTTGACTTCAAATAATCTGTAGGTTAACAAATAGGTGATAGTTTCAGGTAGCAAATATAATATCTCTTATTCTTTCTTAAGTATTCCCTTTGTCTTAAACTGACTGAGGTTTAAGATTTTTACACAATAATTAAAGTAAGTAATAACTATCTTAATTAGTAAAATAATTTTATAAAATTATCTTTAAAAATTAACTCATAGAATACTTTAAAATAATTATATTTAGTATTTATTTAAGATAAAATTTAAAAAAATATTTCATTGAAATTATAAAATGTTACTTGATATGAAAAAAAAAATATTATACTAATAAGTTACTTAATGTAAAATGTTAGAAGAAATATGATTTTAAATTTAAACTTAAATTAAAGCTTTTAAATGTTGTATGTGTGTATGAGAAGATTTTTTTTTATAAGAAAATAAGAGAAAAAAAATATTGATTATTAAATCTTATCAAATACAAGCCATATAAGTTTTTTTATAAAGTCATATATATAATTTATATATATATATATATATATATATATATATGACAAATGCTTCTCTTGAACTGTATTCTCCATTCATACTACATCCACATTCACTTGTGGTTCAAGTTGTCAACACATATTCAGATTAACTACTGAAATGATTAAGTTAATCTTACAATTGCTGCACAATATTATGGGTCACTTATTATGGCTAAGGATTTCATTCTTGATCTTTAAACACCATAGCGTACATGGAAGATTAACGTCTACTATTTCTAGAGTAGAATATATAAGTAAAGAGCTAGCTGCAGCAATGTTTTGTTTAGAGGAGGTTCAAGGAAGAAACAATAGCCCTCACAGTATAACTATAAAACCTGCTCTACGTCTAAATATAATTATTATTATATTTTTATACTCAGATTTTTTTACATTCCTTTGTTATCATATTTTTCTTTTCTTCTTTTGTCACGCGTCATACTCTCTCTCTCTCTCTCTCTCTCTCTCTCTCTCTCTCATATATATATATATATATATATATATATATTCCTCTTTTCATTCTTTGACCAAATTAATCTTTCAATCGAACAATGATGGAAGAATATGAAGAGAAAAAGCAAAAGGGCGAGGGCTACCCCTTGGATGATTGCATGCTTGAGCGTGGCTACGTAACCGCCACAGCTTTCTTTGCATTTCTTGGAGAATGGCTCATTCTTCTCCTCACCTCTTCCATGGCCTCCTTCTTCATTCCACTCACCCCTTCTTTCACCCTTCATTCAACCTCTTCCTCACTCCTCAACGCCACCACCGATAACCACTTCATAACTAGCTTAGCCGTTGGATTTCACGTTCACAACACCAACCTCATGGGAACCACCATCAACTACGATTCTTTCCACGTGTCACTCTTCCACCGCCATCAAAAGCTCTCCACTTTCTCTCTCTTAGATTCTTTCCAACAACCGATACAAGCCGAGTTCCCCAACGTGTCCGTGCCCGTTGATCAGTGGGCCGTCGATCACAGTGCGGTGCAGGCCCACGGAACCTCCTGTGGGGTCGCGCATTTGGACTTGTGGTTCACCGTTAATGCAATCTACGCGCAGCCAATGTGGCCACGTGTCAGGGACAAGTTGCAAGGGCATTGCGGCGAGGTCAAGTTTGAGCTGTGTTCCACTACGGTTGTGCACTCGTTTCTTGCGTCGTGCGATGTGTACAGTGACGTGGTCCACAAGGTTAGGCTTGTGCTTTTGGTGCTGTTGCTCCTCCTCCTCGTAACTGCCTCTGCGGTTCCCCTCTTAGTTGAGCATTTCTTTTGCTGTGAATCTTGATTTTCATTTTGTAGCTTTCTTGGTTGTATTAGAATTAGTCATTTTGGTTTCATATTCTTGTCATGGATTTCTGTTCCATGTTATCTTGAATAAAGAAAATGAAATTAGTGCATTCTTCACTATCACCGTGTCAGTTAGAGTAATTCCCATTTCATTTTTCAGCATACAACCATATTTTGTGTAATTTTGTGAAAGGTCATTTAGTTTAACTTTTTTATTTTATTGTTTTTTTAAATAAAAATACTAAAATGAATGATATTTTTCAAAATTAAGGTTAATTGATGGTTTTGAAATTTTAGAGACTAAAATAGTTCAGTTTATGATATATAACAACTACTTTAAGAATTTACTCAAATGCAAAGTGCTGTGCCCCTTCCCTGGATATTGTTTGGAAAGGGAGTTGCAGAGAGGGGAGGAGAATAAATATATTTTTATTTTATATTTTTAAATTAAATATATAAAACAATATATTAACATTATAAAATATGTTAATTAATTAATTATCATCATAAATCATTAATAATTTTATTAATTTAAAAGTAGAAATTATTTTCTCTTTTTTTTAAAACTCCCTTTTAATTTTAAACAACCCTTTAAGATATGTCTAATAAAGGTTGATACTTAATTTAGATAAATGATTTGACAAAACAAGCTATTTGATCCAATTATAAAAATACAACAAGATTTGGTTTGGATCAAACTTAATATAATATTAATTCCAATCTAATTTGATTTGATTGATTGAAAATAATTTGAATTAAATTGGATTGAATAAATTATTTCTTATATTTTTGTTTTTAATTTATTTAAAAGGTAGAAAAATGAGGCACAAAAATAAATTTAAAATCTTAAATTAATAAAAAAAATATAAATAAATAAAGATAATAAGATATATCTATCAAAAATAATAAAATATAATTTTAAGAATAAAATTATAAAAAAAAGCTATTATCGATCCAATCTCATACATATGCAGTAGTAATGAAAGTTAATTTCATAAATAAAATGGACTGAACTGATTTTTAAAATTGGATCCTAAATTTAATAATAAAAAATCAATTCTTATAATTTATAGTTGTTTTAGCTTATTGGGGTTTTTTTTTTAATGATAGCATTGGGTTTTTTTTTGTTGGCTATCTTGATTTCAAGTTCAACTAATTTTCGAACACTATTAATATTTGAGAGTATGATTTTAGAAGAAAAACAAACGAAGAGTAAAATTTCTATTTTCAATAAATATTTCATAATTTAATAAATTTTAATTATTTAGCAAGTAATTAATAATAATATAAACAGGTCGAGAGGGAAGAAATCCTTTCACTGGAAACTCAAGTCATATCCAACGCGTAATCAAAGTCTTCGTGGATGGGCCATGAGCTAATCCGTACCTCAGATACAGCCAACACTCCAAAGGCAATGGATCAATGGCGAAGCAATTGTATTAATTAGGATTTGAACCGCGTAATGTATGTAACATAAATTCCTTTTTTTTCTTAATTTCTAAAACATCGTTAGTGTGGAATACCCAAGACGCAATAGTCAAAGACATGCGTAATATTTATCATAGATTATGTTCCCATTCGCTTTTATTTCCTCTGTTTTTCAACTTCTGTTTGTCTTTACCTCTAATTCAATAACAACATATATTCAACGATATAATTGACTTAGTTAAAAGGCTAAGTCTATCTTAAAAAACATATCATATATATATAAAAGAATTTTCTCATGTAAGTCTAAAAATATAACCGGTCAGCAAATGAAAGGCTGAAAAGATATTGCTCATATATATATATATATATATATATATATATATATGTGTGTGTGTGTGTGTGTGTGTGTGTGTGTGTGTTACTGCTGCTAGTGCTAAGAGAAAGGTAGAAAAGATGGTGCACGATAGAATGATTGCATTAACTCTGATCATTTGGTATCTAAAATGTGACCACAGTTATTATTTAATATAAGTGCAGTGATAAACTTTCAGTTGTTACTCATAACTGAACTCCTACTACAACAGCTCACTCAGTTGTTTATCACACGTGCTTCCTTTTCTTCATTGTTTCTTCCTATGGAAACTCAAAACATCCTAGTCCATAACCACCAAATTCTTTCAAGATCTCTCTATGTACCCTTTAACAAGAGAAATAATATGCTATTCACATATTTTTTTAATTCATTGTTTCTGACACATCCTTGTTTATTATATAAAATTTAAGTAAGACCCACAAACCAAAAGAATGTGTTGAAAAAATGTTACCAGTTTCTATCTATAACCTGTGAATTCCTTTACTTCAAAACTATGCCTTTCCTGCATTAAGTTTGTGGCAATACTTACCTATACCCAAAAGCTTACCAGTGTCTTTTGGGGAGGTGAAGAAACCCACATGCAAATCGTCACAGTAAATATTCAACAACTTATCCATACTTGGCCAGATTCCAGATTCGAATCTAACCTTAACACATAACTTAACGTTAACGTTAACCACCCCTTTGTTCCAATCCTTAACAAGTTCCTCAGGCACCACCTCCTTCTTAGTTGAGTCTCCAACTACCAAATCAACCTTAACACTCGCGTTCGCCATCTTCCCAAGAAATACGTGTTGTTGCACCGCATCAACACGCCACACCTGATCATAAAACACCAACATGCTGCAACGGTTAAGCACCACTTCGACTGTGGCTTTGTTTGGGTTTGTTATGGAAAGACCCACCTCGTGCTTACCTCGGAGCTTCGAACCTGAGACAGTGAAGTTGGTCACTGAAAGTGATGTCACACGAAAACTAGGGACACTTGGATGCATGACAAGCCAAGCTATGCTTATTATGGCCATGAAAATAACGAAGATGGAAACCAACATCACTCTTAGATTGCAGAATAAACCGTTATTGCGGTTCTCCGTGGCCATTGGATTGGATTTTGGAAGAAGGCTTTGTCTTATCAATGATGTTGGGTTGTTAAGCAAGTGCAATTTTGGCTTGGTGCTGTTATTAATATCCTGAGTTTTCTTGTTTGAAGGTGGAGTTGGTGTAATTAACAAATGTAGAAAGGGTTACATGGGACTTCGAGAAAAAAAGAAGGGGAAGACTACAATATAATACGCAAAAAGACCTTGGAGAGGGGAAGGTTCCTAGAAACTTCAAGGAAAAAGTAGCTAGGAAACTTCGCGGAAGGAAATTGAACGTAATCAAGTGAAAAAGTGCATATTTGGCAACCTTTTCCGAGAACAAAAATGATGCTAATGTACAAGATTTTCTGACTTGTCTCAGTCATTTGAAGATTCTTTATCCACTTGGTTGAAATTCTAGTATACATTACAAAGCATATTAGTAATTGAAGTATGGTTTGTGTTTTCTTGCGTGATTAGTGAGAAAACCCTTTTAATATCCTCTTCAATATATTTAATGTAATTAATTAGTTTTTTAAAAAGTTAAAATTTTTGTTTCTGTAAATTAATTATTTATTAACAATTATTTTAGATTTTTTAAAAAAGTGAATAATTATAAAAGTGCGTTAAAAAATATGCTAAAAAATTGTGTTAATAACGTTATCTTTTATGTCATTCCTATGCTCCATTAAATCATAGCAACTCTTTGGTAATTAATTATAAAGGGGTAAGTTTTCTAATTAGAAAAAATAATTACACTTTGGTATTGTCAATGTAATAAGTTTTTTTTTAATAAAAACTTCAACTTTTAGTAGCTTAAAATCGGTCATAAGAGTTTATATTAAATTTTTTCTTAAATATTTTGGGAAGAACATTCAAGGTATACATTTAACATTTAACAACAAAACAGGAGCACAGGATGTCCATACAATTAAACGAAACTTGATGTTATTACTTTGTATGGTCACTATTTACAAAACATAAAAGCACTGAAAGAATTACAATAATGAAAGAAGGAACAGAAAATCCAATTTCTTCTCTTATGAATTCAAGGGGTACTCGAATAGCTATGAACTATTTAGAAGCAAATTTGAAACATCAAATACAATTGAACTTATTACAAGCTGTAAGAATGAAGATACCTTATGAAGAACGTGCTCCACTTTCCTCTGACATCATTCCTTTAAGACTCTTAGCCAACCAAATAGCTGTCTCCCTTGGGGAAACCTTATCTTTCCCAAAGGGCTTTAGAACAACTTGAAGTTCCTCCAATCTATTTTGCTGTAGCAATTCTGCAGACAATTCCAAGAGCTCTTCAAGTGCCTCTGCTCTTTGCCTAAAAGATTTCACATCCAATGTTTCCTTTGCTGCTGGTTTGTCTTCATTCAGAGAAGTGTTGCTTTTACTGATCTCGGCAGAATCAGATTCTGAGACTAAAGAAAAAGGGTTACTCACATCTTGTTCCTTAAGACCAGGGTGATCAGACATGCTTGATTTCAAGCTTGAAGGATCAGAGAAACTTGAGGATTTAAGGATAGGAGGAGTGTTCACGTTTTTCATTTCCAACTGATCGGAAATATTTGATTTCAAGCTTGTAGCTTCAGAGCAAGTTGAAGGTTTAAGGGTCAAAGGTGAGCTAATGTTTCTCATTTCTAAATCATCCCTCACTACATTGATGAGTTTACCATCTACATTTTGAACTCCCATTTGCACAGATTCTTTTACTGGCTGCTCACTTCCAACGCGGTAACTACTGTGGCGTATCACATGGATAACATCATCAAAGGCTGGAGGAAGATGGCCAGTATCAGGCCTTTCTGATGGTGGATTCTGCAGAACAGTTCCTTTCTCTTGCAAAACTTTATGGCTTGATAATTTAGTATTGGTAACCGGAGCAACAGGCTCAGCCACGGATGACAGTCGCTCCCTCACCGTGAATTTGTCATCACCAGTAGACTTACATAGAATTGTTGGCTGGCTAACTATATCAGGCTTGCTTACTGGACAGACTTCTACAAACAAAGAATTTTCTCCAGAACTTGGAGGTAGATGTTTTATAGACTTGTTAGAAGGCATTTCCTTGGAAATATCTTCAAGATCTTTGATTTCTTTGGTGGCTTCAGCAGGGGGATCTACAGAGGTATTATCACATCCAGAGGTAGTAGATATAGTTGTCTGGTTTATGAGAAGACCACCTTCTGAAGCGAATCTTACCTCAGAATCTTCAACAGGGTGATTAAGAGTCAAATTGGAAACCACTTTCTCATTACTACTAACAGTATTCTGAAAATTCAGGGTAGTAACCACACAGGTTTCTTTAGGCACTTTTTCAATCATCTTACAATGTGCACATGTTGTAGGTGAGCTGCTGTTTGGACATGGTTCCGCACTTACAATGCTAGTTACATTATCATGATCAGGATTTATCTGTTCTCTCAAGTCAATAAAAGTTGTTGCATCATCAGCAAGTTCACATCCTTGAATAGAAACTGAAGACGAGGCAGAATTACTGCTGTCTGTTTGCATTCTTCCTCTAGAAATTGTATCAAAAGCCTTCTGAGGTTCTCTGCTAATCTGTCTAGAGATATGCGGTACATTGCCATTGGTTAACTGACAGTGGCTCATCTCAGGTTCCTGGGCTATTTTATTTGTGCCTACCTTCCCAATATCACTAGCTGCATTTGGAACATCAAGTCCAGCCACCTTCATTCGTCCGGAAAATGAAGGTCGTTTAAGTAAGCTTGGAGGAGTCCTTTGTCTTGGCTTGGCAGGAACTCCATCTCCTTCTACTTGTTTGACAAGGCCAGGTGGTGGAGTCAAATCATGTCTTGGTTTAACTTTTGGTGAGGGTTCTGTCGTCAGTAACTGCCAGCATACAGAAATAAATTCCATGGTCATGAGGAAATCTTTAGAAACATATGGTAACTTGTATAATTTCAAATGATAATCTACCTGATGCTTAAAATGATGAGATCCATGTATTCGTTTTGCTGAATCAGGGGTAGCCTTTGCAGGTGCAACAGTTGGTGGTGACTCTAAATTAGGCTTCAAACTAGGAGCAAGAAAATTTGGTTTAGGCAATTTAGACAATGTCTCTGTATTTATTTTGTGACTTGATGCACCACCAGCCTTTATGCGATTGCCTCGCATTGGAGAAGTTGTTTCTCTAACTTTTCCCTCTTTCAATGCCATCATTATATTTCTAATTGTTTTTGGCTGCTTAGATTCAACATTAGAATAGTGTTCACTATGAGAGGGTTTCATCACCTCTTGCTCAGCTGTTTTGGCATTGGCATTACTAGACCTACTTTCTTCGTCTGAGACATCATCATCAATAGATGTTATATCTGTCTCGGTGGTTTTGTTTTCACACTTTGCCACTGCTGTTGCAATGTTTTTCTCGTTTGGCATTAAATTATCTCTGTCACTGCTCGAACTATTACTGTTTTGACTTTCAGCCATATTTTTCCGAGGATCATTGGCAGCAGAAATTGGTTTTTCAGGAGATGCTATTGGAGGGCTGAAAGATGGACGGTATTGATCAACATAAGGCTGCAAATAAGGGTGCTTTAACACCTCTGATGCCTGTGAAATTTATGAAGTGAAAATGCTTAGGAAAATAAATGATAGTAAATCATTTCCACATTGGAAATAAATTTATTCTCCAGAGAGGCTTACTGTTGGCCGATGCTCAGGATTTTTTCTCAGCATGCCCTTTATTAGTGTTTTCCTGTAGTTACAGTAATCAACAACAAATGATTTCCAGTAAAGAGAAAAATAAGAAATTAGCAAAAGCAGATAGAGTAGAAACCTACAATGAAGGGGAATAACATGGAGGCAAAGGGCCAATAGAAGAACGATTTATCTTGCTTATCAATCCTGCCATATCCTGAAACATGATTTACCATGTCATTGTTAAACAACCAAGACGAGATACCGTCACATACATGAATAGACAGTATTATAAAGAATCACGTGAACCGCATTCAACAACAGTCAAGCCAACATCACCAGCAACTCCAATTAACAAAGTTCAACAAAAATATTAGGAAACTAAATGTTGAATAGACCACAATGATGATCTGGTATGTGGTAGCTTCTCAAACTCCGGGAAATGTCAGGTTAGCAATCTACTTCTTCAATTATACAATTTTACGATTTTACATATCTAGATCATTCTGATACCTTATCTTTCCCTGTAACACGAAAAAGTAACTTTGCTGACTTTGATGGAGAAAAGAGATACTATGTTCATATCTGACATGATTACATTTAAGGAATTCACTAATGATTTAAAACTACCTATGGGCTATAACTATCAAAAAGTAAAAAAATAAAATCAAATAAGAAACCTTACAGAAGCTTTAAAAGCAGGGCGATGAGCAGCCATCTCGTATATACAGCACCCTGAACAAGAAAAATGCATTTTAGCTGCAGCAAAATCAAGTCTGCAAGTATCAGACTTATAAAATGCATACCTAGCGACCAAATATCAGATTTGAATCCATACGGAATATCAGCAAGCAGTTCAGGACACATGTAATTAGGAGTTCCTACCACCTGCATAGAGACATTTACGGTTATTATCAATTACATATGTGGTAACTAAGTATTTGAATATAAATGTAATGGATTAAAAAAACGGTAGCATTGTCCTATTTCAAACCTCTAGATACTAGAAGTTGAACATTATTAAATATGAATTTGTCCACACAAAATATGAGATATATTAAATGAGTTTACAACAGTGTGGTCTCCTAGCTGAATCATCCAAATTGTAGAAAAAATTCTTGTCTTCTTATCTACAATGAGAATGGATTGGATGATTCTTAGTCTAGTAAAAAAGAGTCTACAGAGATACAAAAGAACCTTTAATAAAGTTATTAAAAAAGACATTTTGATTAATTAAATTTTTGAAAATTTGATTTTTGACTGAGTTCAATGACATCATGTGATCCATATAACCGACCTCACCAAGTAAGATAAGGCTTGATTATTGTTGTTGTTGTTATCTATAAAAGCTATAAAATTTGGTCTTATCTATCAAATTTTAAGCAAGCAAGCTAGTTCAATTTGCTCAAACAACTCCCAATTCTTATCCCCACCCTTCTCTTCATCTGAAATACACTTTAAAAGGAGACAGCAAATATAAAAAAAACTTGTTAATAAGAACCTTGGAAGAATCACACCACAAAAGCTAGCTAGTTATTGTAGTTGGAGAGCCGAAGACTTTATAAACCCCCTACTTGTATAAATGTCTTCTTAGTATGAACATAACTGTACGTGTCCACACAAGACTGAGAAACAAAAGGGTATGATTTCAAGATGAAAAACACTAAATCTGTAATGCTGCAGATACATCAGTACTATGGAAACTTGATACAACTAAGATTAACAAGTATCTTGACATGTTTAAAACAAATAATTTGGATTTAAGAAGAAAGCAACAAGTTCCTATTGTACACATACCGAAGAAGCCAAATCATCTGCCTTTAGTGTCTTAGCAAGCCCGAAATCCCCTATATGTCAGAAAAATACAGACAAATTCATAACAAAGACTCAAAAATCTCTCCAATATAATCAGAGATGGTAGGTGAACTCACCTAGGCGAACATCCTGATCCTTGGTTAGAAAGATGTTGGAACACTGTTAGCAAAATCAACAAAATCAGACTTAACTACATTTCAAATGAAAAACTGAGAATCATAGACCATGTAGTTTGTCCCATATAAGTATACCTTTAGGTCACGATGTAAAACAAAATTTGAATGCAGGTATTCAACTGCCAACAGTAATTGAGTGAACCATTTGCAGAGTTTCTGAGCAATTTCAACAACACATCCAATGTAAGCCATAAGCAAATTTAAGCATTATCCCTCAATATATGGGAAACGATACACACACACAGAGCCATGAGATAAGAATACCTCCTCAGGAAAGTAAGCACCATTTAATTTTTTCATCAATTCAGCCCTGTCATAGATTTGAAGAGAAAATAAGTATAATAAAATATTAAACAACTGGGGAGAACAAGTATAATAAACTTCAAGAGATTGAACATCTAAAATTTATGAACTTTCACATGACACTGCAAGTTCATAGGTATTATTATAATCATACAAACTCACATGTCTCCACCTTCACAGTAGCCAGTGACAATGCAAACATAGCAACCCTACAACAGAAGTAGAATGTGCTTACTGCTTAGCTGAAAACTAAATAGTCACAATCTACACATTTTTAGTTTTGTAACTATTCACACTTAATTAAAAGAAATTATGGCTAGGATTAAATCATGCCAAAATTTAAAGGGACTCTGACCTTCTCAACCCACGCTTCTTTGAATTCCACAATGTAAGGATGCTGGATTCGAGCAATGAGAGCCATCTAGAATTTGCAACAGGCAACAGTAGTTAAATCAAATCTCCACACAAACAACAACAGATTCCATACATATGTAGCAAATCCACAGGTAGAGATAACAACAAAATATTTAAAAAAATAATAACAAAATAAACAAACTCACCTCTTGATGAGCAGATCTTCTGCATCTTTCAGTCTGCCTGGCAAGCCTGATTTTTTTCAACACATATCTGCAACCCGTAAGCTCCAATCATTAAACTTTTGAACCCAATTTCGCATGAACAAACAAAGGAACAAGCATAACCCCATAAATGAAAAATATGAAATGCAAAGTGGTGACTTTTACTTCTTCTTCTCAGCCTTGTGATTAACAAGAATGGCAGCCCCAAAAGCTCCACGACCGATCTGCTCCATGATCTCATACTGATCCATCCTTGACTCCATTGCTCTCGATCCACCAAACCCCACAATCACAAAAAAAAAAAAAAATACACAACAACAACCAAAACCAATCACTAGCAACCAATCTCACACCATTTCCCACTTCTCAAAATCCTCACTTTCTGAATCAAAATGAAATCATTTCCTAATCCAAATGGTACAAACTACAACATCTCAAGAACTCGAAGTCCTGGCCATAGTTCTTTTCCACCGAGATTTACAACGAACTTGTTCTACATTGCTTCCACAATAGATTAGAATCATGTGCTACCCAAAAACCATGTGGATCTTCTTCTCATCCTTCTCTCAGCACCCTGCTATAGCTTCATTCAACTGTCCCTCACCACTAGTACCTTGACAACAACAATGGGCAATAATAGCATACCCATGATGACTTTTCTCATAATTGCAAAGAAAATGATTGAAAGTTTCAATCTTTGTTGCCAAGCTGAAGTAAAATAATAATAATAAAAAATAAAAAAAACAAGGTACAACACACGTACACTCTCTCTCTAACTGTGTAATAGCTGAATTGAAGCGTTTTAGAGAGAGAAGACGAAGAAGAAGAAGAGGGTGCTTATGGGTGTGCTCGGTTATTCGCCGACAGTTACAGCTGGTCTACCTGGTTCCGAGCTTTCGTTTTTTGGTTGTTTATTTCAATTTTATTTTTAAAATTTTTTATTTCATTTTTTTTTTTCGCATCTTCTTCTTCCTACAAGATTTAATGTCCATTAATGGAGTTACCAAGGGTGTTACCTTCGTGGACGAAATATCATCAGTTATCTATTTCCATAACAAGGAACATTTCAATTATCACTAACGGTTTGTTGTGTGAATTTCTAATGTTTGTGCCATTATTAGTATTAGAAATCCATGAAGTTAATCAGATAATTTTGGAACCATATTTAATGGATGTCGTGATTTGCTAACCGAAGTATCTGTTATTTGGGTATATATATATATATATATATATATATATATATATTAAGCCTACGTTGTTTACCAGTAAAGGCTAGGTTAATAGTTAATATTATTCTTGTTATATTCAGTATTATGATAGCGATCTTCCCTTTCTGATTTTGGTTGAATGTAGATCAGGTGAATAAGTCTAATATTTAGATACATGTCATCCAAACTAAAGTTTATACATTTAAAAAAGAAATTGCTTGGTCTTGATTAATAAAGATTTGGATATTAAATGCAAAGTCAGTTAAACGAGGAGAGATATTTATTCATTTATTTAAAATGTTTTAAACAATTTATTTGATGTCTTTTTTTGTATATTTTTATTTGTTGTTAATTCATTTAATGTTAAATTTTATTATCTTAATAATAGAACAAATTTTGTCAATCTCAAATTTTTTTATAAATTATGATTCATTTTAAGCTAATTACAAAGTTTTTATTTTTTAATTTTAAATATTTTTAAAAAAATAGTGTTTGACAAAACTTGATTTAAATTAGTTTTTAACTTTGTATTAAAATAAATTTAATTCTTTAGCCCCTTGAAAATAAAATAAAAATCATTTTCAATTTTTAGTTATAAAACTAACTTATTTATTTTTATTATAGTTCTTAAAAGATATATGTTATCTTTTTTTTTCTATTAATATAAGTTATCTTTACTCCTTGATATTTATTACTATCTAATTAATTAATTAATAATAATAATAATAATAATAATATTATTATTATTATTATTATTATTATTAAGTGTGTGCTGTGGTACTTAATATTTTTTAGATATTTTTTTATAGATATCGTATCTAAAAAATTTATACCTAAAAGAAACATGTATTAAATAAATAAGATATTTTATATATAATTTATTTAAAATTATATTATTTATGATAATGCTATTATATATATATAGTATATTAATTTTTTATTTTTTATTTTTTTATTTTTTATAAATTTTTAGTTTTTAATAAAATATATTTTTTATTTATTATAAATAAAAATAATTATAAATAATATATTAATTTAATAATTAAATTTTAATAATAAAATAAAAAATATATTAATATAATATTATTATTTTATTTTTAAAATTTAATTTGTTAGTTTTAAATTAAATATAACAAATATAATACTTTATTATTTAAATACATATCTAAATATTATTGATTAAAAATTTTTATATACGATATTTTAAAAAAATTTAATAAGTACTACAGAATTTACCGATTACTTAAATGTTATTCTTTTGTTACTTTAACTATTTGTTTCTATTATTCAGTTTTATCATTGTTATTTCTATAATTATTAAAACTATTAATGTTAATAATATTATTATAATAAAATTTAATACTTGATATAAAAAACTATTAATGTTAATATTATTATTATAAAATTTAATACTTGTTATAATACTTGTAAATTTTTAAAAATACTCTATACTATATTTAAATTGATAGAAATAATTTTTATAATATTTTAAAGATTATCCAATATTTATATTATTTATTTTATTATATTAATATAAAATTAAAAATATTAATTAAATTGTTTTATATGTGAAAAGATATAAAATAACTGCTTAATTTAGATATAGTTACCATGAAATTTTAGTGTAACTTAGTGAAATTTTTATTCCTTACTCGTATAAGTGGGATATTGATCCTTTAGAACATGTTGTTTTTACACATCTTTATAATATGTTTGTCTGTTAAAGGTTATATATTTAAAATATTTAAATTAACACATTTTAATTTTTAAAAATATTATTTAATCTAAAGAACTATTTAATTAAAAAAAAAAGAAAAAAGACAACAGACACTTGAATCACCGAACAACACACATGTATAAAGATCATCACTTCATGTATGTAATCATTATTAAAAATTGGATAGATTTTTGTTTATATCACATAATTGCTTAGTATCTGTGTTTAACGAAAAAAGTATTTACGATATGAAAAAATAAAGTGTGTTTTGTATGAATTCAGTACTTTTCCATATTTCCTTTTAACAAAAGGACAGATGAAAGTGAACAAAAAATAAAACTTTTAGATTATTATTGAAAGGGGGAGGGGTCTACACAGATCAAGTCACTGTAACCGTACGAATCAATAATAAAATGGCATTTGTATTGGGTTTAAATATATTTTTTATCACTATATTTCTGTGAACTATTTTTTTATTATTTAAGTTTTAGTTTGTATTTTATAAATTTAATAATTTTATGCTAAAAGACCATCAAATATTATATTTGATAAAATATACTAAAAAAAAATAAAACTAAAAATTTATTAAATATAAGAAATAAAATAAAAAAATATTTTTAAGACAAGTACATGTTTAAACTTTTATTTTGATTGGAAACTTTGAGTTGTCAATACTAAATTATTAGAAGATTGTTAAAAGAAGTGTCAACACGTAGCAGTAAAGTACAAAATGTGTTTATTTTACAACGTTTAACAAATATTTTCTATAAAGCATGTATCAAATTACCATTAAATTAGTTTAAAAGAAATTAATCGAGAAAGATAGAATCTCACATTTAACGAGGTACAAGTTTGAATCTTTATTTTTTTTTATATAAAATAAACTTAAATCCTTTATAAATTACTTTTAAGTTTAACGACTTTTCTACTTTAGAATAAGATACCATCTATTTTATATACCCTTGCACAGTTATAATTATTTTTAATGTAATTATTAGTAAATATTTCATGCATTACACGATTGTTTTCTAAAATTATAAAAAGGTTAAATTAATATAATACTAAAAATATTTTATTTGAAATAATTTTTTTAAAGTTATAGATATTCAAAACTTTTAATTTTGCAAATCTTAAATTTTGATAGAATTATATTTTAATGATTGTTAACAAATGTTTAAAAATATTAATTACGAATATTAAAGAAATTAAACCTTGTTTAATTAAGTAATTAATTAATAAAAGTTGGTGTTAATTTGATTTAATTTAATATAAATGTTTTAAGATGTATCACATGCTACATGATAAAAATGAAATGGATTAAAAAGTGTAATTTTGAAAGAACATTCATATATGTAGTTGAAGTTGCAATAAGTGACTATTGAATTAGCCACCACTTAATAGTGTCTAAATATTGGTATATCAGACTCCAAAAAAAATTAACTATTAGTTTGTAAGATATCAACATGTTTATACTTAAAAATGTCACTGTACCAACATTTCAGTACGATTAGTAAAAAATATTTAATAATTTTTAATAAACATTTTTAAAATGCTAATTAGCCAACGTATAGAAGATAAATCTACGAATAATATTTTTTATTGAGAAGTTTGAAGAAGTTAAAAATATTTATTAGAAAATTATAATGTTCTACAGCTTTTGAGCTTATTTTAAAATAAAATAAAATATTCAATTTCGTAATTCTCTTTTAGCGTGGATTTAAAGTAATTGTTATAGAATGTAATGCAGTTTTTAAGGAGTAAAATTTTTGTCATATATTAATTTTAGACTTTAGTTTCTATTAAATCGTGCAGCATGAATAATAATTTCAAGATCAAGTGTATTATTAACCGTATTTAGTATTAGTTTTTTTATTGTCAAAGTAATTTCAACACGCAGTTTCAAAGTTAAAAAATGAAGAAAGTAAGTAAATTTATCTTAATTTATAAAAAAATAATTTTGATTGCTTATTATGTATAGATTAAAAAAAATTTCATAATTCCGTCATTAAAACATTCCTCATTGTTACATACTCAATTAGCTGTCTTGACCTTTTTTTTATTAGTCCTTTTTAAATAATATTTTTCTCTAAAATGACCATTTCTAAATGTAAATAGGTGTTTTTTTTAAAGATATGATCTCTTTTAATGAAACCTTTTTTTCCCCCTCATTATCTTAATAGCAAAAGGTTTAAAGTTACAAAATAACATCAATCAACAAGAAAATTTTAAATACTTAATATTAACCAAAAAAAAAGGAAAAAATACGTGTAATATTGTCTTCAAAGAAAATTAAAAGTGGTCAGAAGATGGAACTTTTAAGAAAAATATTTCATTGAACAATGTTAAAAGATATAAAGTGAATGAAAAAAACCACAATCTTGTTTGAATTATACAAATTTTTTTTATGAGAAATAAAGTATATTTTTGAAATATTTAACATGTCACAAATTATATACTAAGAAAAAATTAAACAATTATAGACGTCTCTTGAAGAAAGAATATAGAATAAAAAACACATCTACTAAGAAAAATGAAAAATATAAATTAAACAATTATAAACATGTCCTCCCGAAAGAAGATAAAATAATAAGTAAAATAAAACTAAATTATAAACAAGATAACCTAGTGTGAAAAGAAAGAATACATAAAAAAAAATTACGTATGATATGAATCTTTATCCTATGAAAAATTACAATGGTTAGTAAATTCCGTACAGACAAAAAATTATTATATTTAAATGATCTATTTAGTAATAAAATATTATTTTGATTAATATTGTTAGAAAACATTAGACAAAATGATTTTTTTTATTATAGAATTTAAATATAATAAACTAGTTTTTAAATATAAAAATGATTTTATATAATTTAAATTTAGAATGGAGGCCCCACCATTTACACATAGTCCAATGAGTTGACAATGAAATTAAAACAATGATTAGGGTATGATAAATATAGGAATAGGGGAATAGAATCACGCAGAAGCAAACAATGGTGAGAGTGCAGTGTGTGGCATGGTTTCATGTGGCACGTGCTGCTTCCTCTTCTCCGTCGACACGCACATGCCATCCACATTATCCCCATTTGAATGCAGTTATCGACGCAGACACCTGACAACAGAGGGTTACC